AAGCCATGCTATTTAAATAATAATAATAATTTATGTGTTAATGTTTCATCATATTAATACATAAACAGATAATACTTATTTTAGTTTTATTCAATTGTGATAAAAATAATTTTAAATCATTGATAAATGGATTCACATAATCATGGGGAGGTCTATAAACACAAATTGGAGAGAACAATACATTATTTATCATAAGAGCTAGATGTACTGAACTGCAATTTTTTATTACCGGTTTTTAAATTGTTATTATGTTTAAGGATTCTCTAATTAATATAGTGATGCCTTCACATTTATGAAATATTCCTAATGAGTTAATGGTGATTGGTTTTATAGCCACTTAATTAAAAGTAAAAATCATTTAGAAGCTAGGTTTCATATAGTACAATGACACTGAAATAATTATTTACTGGGCCTAGTAAGGCTATTGTTAAAATGAGCCTTAATACTATTAATATTAATTTGGTAAATCGGAAAAGCTATTATTAAATAACGGTACCTATATGTAAAACAGAATAAAAATAATTAGAATTATTATTGATGTTTAATAGGTTACCCAAATTGAAAATATTATTATGAATTTTGTTGTTAAATAACAACATGAGAACACCTCATTTTCCAGAAAATAAATGAACCGAACGTTAGTAAACTATAAACTAAATTTAACAGAAAAATAAAACTATAAAAAGTAAAATTATAGAAGATATAATAACTCTAAATGAACGTTCTAGAATTTTTTTTTATTGAAAATAAAATAAACATAAAATATGCATACAGAATTTTAATCCCAAAGAGTTGAAAGCCCAAAACTAAAATTACAGAATGTAGTACAGAAAGTGATTTTGTGGACCATTATTTTACAGAAACTTTAAATTTTGAAATCACCTAATTAGCCCATATGTTTAGGCATGAAAAGGGGGCGGGCTTAAGGGTTAAGCCCCCCCCCCCCAATTATTACCAAACATTTTTTTAAGTTTCTTCAATAATATTATAGTAAGGTTTCACCCCACTCCCCAAATTTCAAATACTATTTGTACCTATGCCTTTATGGATATATTAGACCCTTGACTAATTCTTGGCGTTATCCTTTTTATTTATTTCATATGCCCATACAATATCACAATATTAATAACGACATTAAAATCTTAACAATTTATCTCGTCTAGATTATGTTAGCTATAATAATGTATAAATGTAAATATAATTCAATTAAAATTTTATTTGATTATAATAGTGTCTGTATAGTGTATACTAACGTTAAAAAAAGTGGAATGAGGTAAACATTAAATTATTAAAATATATATTATTTTAGTTACAAATTTGTTTTTAATTTTTCATATTATATTTGAAAGTTAAATAAGTGATATGGGTAACATAATAATAATGCACTAGTCATTATAGTTAAAGCCTACATTCAGTATTGGAATTTTTTTTAAAAATTGTCTTTATTTAGAGCATTTGATAAATCTCTTTCAATAGGCTGTAATAGACAACTTAAAACAGCGTTGCTTAAACTTTTTTATCTGTGGAAACCTTTTTATGCTCACTTTGACAATGAGTTATTACAGCCCGACATTTAAAACCACTACTTGATTTCAATATTTTTATTGCATCATTTTTAAGGATTATTTTCAATCACAGTATAATAATGTGTTAAAATTTTGAAAAAAGCACAAGTTTTGCAGAACACTGAAGTGACCTCCACGAAACACAGTTTAAGAAACGCTGACTTAGAGTAACGATTTGGTAATTTAAGTTAACATTAAATTAGTATTTATTCCACGCATTGCTGAAACTATTTACTGTGCTTTCATTAGTTGCAGAATTTATTGCAACACTGAAAGCGATAAATGTAGCATTTTAAATACATTTGGAAAATCTGATTTTTGAATAATACTCTTTAGCTGCTTTAAATTTCTCTGATGGTTATTAAATGATAATAAAATTAAATGATTAACAATTGATTATCTATTATCTATAATTATTTTTTTGATTTTAGTTTGGTTTGATTTATTTTAATTTATTTTAATTAATTTTAATGAAGCCTGAACACTTAAGAAAACCAAATTGTATTAATTTATTATTATAATGAAAATAATAATGACGTTGACTAGAATATGGACTGTCAGACACAAATACACAACCGTTGTAATTATGAAGATCCATGATAAATGATAATATAAAATCTGATTCTGTTTTTAGCAAAAGAATCCTATAAGCGGTCAATAGGCTCAACGATTATCTTTATCGCCATTTAGGTATTTATTAATGTAAACATAAAATTGTGAGTCTATTCTTCTGGGTGAACACTAATTTTGTGTTTACTTAATTGGCGAAAACAAACTCATCACATACAAACGATGTTAGGAACAGATAACAAAAAAATTATCAGATTAAGATAAAGATATTATCTAAATGTTATCTAAGATACAGATAAAATATAAAGAAATCAAATTCATCTAACAAAAATACATGAATTAAAAATATTTTATCTAGATAAATTACAGATGATTATAAAAAATAAAATTAAAATAACTAATTTAAAAAATATGTATGTACTGTCGGGTAAGTACTTACATGCCTGTATAATAATATTTACTTATGTCAATATTTAGGAGTATTGTATATACGAAATGTTTATTTTATTTTTATAAATGTGCATATAAGAATTGGTTACATTTAGTTCATAATAAACAGATTTATATTATAAAATATAAAACCTGAAATATATTAAAAGCGTCTCACATATTTGCTTGTCAGACTTATCAAGGCTGTTTAATAAACAAAAAGTCTAGTAGTTATAGTCTAAGTAATAAAAAATCAATAAATTAGATTTTAGAATTTTTAGTCTAGAAAAATCTAATTTGAATTAAAAATTCAAGTTAAAAAAAAAGGACAGGTTGAATAAAAAAGCAATGTAGAGTAAAAAATCTAACATTTAATTGTTACATTTAGGGCTGGGATTTCGATGCACTTTGCATTGTTTTTCAAAGCTTACTGTGCAAGCTCGTCTTGTCACAATTTTGTTTTATGTACATTTGAATGAGAATAAAAAAGTTTATTTTGCATTTTTTAGGTTTTAGGTCATTTTTTTAATTTTTTAAGGCATTTTAGAGTTTTTAGAAACCAAGTGTATGAATTTGAAATTGTATTTTAAGATTTTGAGATTTTTACACTAACATGGATTTTAAATAAAAATAACAGATTATAAGTAGGTACTCGTAATTCGTATTATATTATCGGACAATCAACTTTTTTTTTAGATTTATACTAAAACTATGTATTTACAGTTTACACTTGTAATAGATTTTTATAATGCATTTTTTAAAACTTTTTATTGGAATTCATATTAAAATTATTATTAAAAATAAAAAAATTTGTAGATCATAAAAGCATTTTTTTAGGGAATTTTTCGGGTTTTTTAGGGCATTATTTAAAGTTTATAGGTCATAAAAGCATTTTTTTTAGGATATTTTTCGGGTTTTTTTAGGGCATTAAAATCCCAGCCCTACTTATATTCATATTAGTATTTTTATTAAACTTGGTATTTTTATGCAATTACATTTTTTTTATTCAATTTGACTCATCAATTATTGTGCTGTGTATAACCGTTTCATTAGCATCTCGAAAATAAGCATTTCCAGGTACACTAGAGTTGTATAAATTTAAAATGTTGAAATAGTATACAAAAAAAATTGCTAAAAACCTATTATTAGTCATGGGTGAGGTCGGTTCCTGGCCCTATCCGCAGAAATTTGTTTCTCACAGCAGGGATTTGTTCATAGGAATTGCGAATCATATCCAAGAATTCATAGGAATGACGTACTGGGCCCGTACGTACCTATTGTATCATTAGTGCTCTGAAGTTGTAGGAGTGGCATATTATTCTGTATGCTTTGATTTATAGTAGACGAAGTTAGAAATTCGAGCTGTATAATGATGAGTTTAATAATGAAAAATGTAGAATGCATATTTAGGGTTATCAATTTAGGGAATGAGTGCATATTTCTTGATTTTCATACGCATATTATTTAATACTTTCTAAACATCTTTATGTTTTTTTGTTCTTAAATAGCAGTGTATTTTAATAATGATATTGATTTCATAAATAAATATTATTTAATGTAGTTATTTACTATCGACTAATAATTCAACAACAATGGTGTAATTCGCATTTAATTTCTATCACACTAACATTCTGATGTATTTACAATTTTTTCGAATTTTGCAATGTTTTTTCGGTTCAAAAAATTTCAAAATATCAACTAATTAGACATTACCAAGATTTCGTATACATCAAACGATAAATGGTAAAATAATATTCATATCAATCAGATGTTTCGTGTGTTCAAGATTAACAATTTTTTTTTTTATAAATCTATCTAAGAAGCTAACTTTAACTTTACGATAACTTTTGTCAGACAAATGTTTCTTTTTTTTTGAAGCCTATTATTAGGCCTATTATTATTGGTTATTATTAGGGGTTGAATGCAAGTTTTGAACATATACTGTATGGCGTATGCTAAGTAAGTACAAAATGTGTTTCATGAAACTGAAAGTGTGATTAAAAATACAAATTTTTTTAGACATTTATTTTAACATATCACAGTTTTTAGAAGAATTAGAAATAAATATTGTTGTACCTGACTTTTTTAAACTAATTAATTAAAACTATTCTCAGTCATAAATTGTTAGAAATAAAAAACACTACAGCCTATAGGTAGAGAATGACTAAAAAAATGTCACCAAAGGTATATAGCCCATATGTATTATAGCTTAGTATCTTAGTATTAATGGTTCATTATAGGCAACCTAAGATGCCTCCTATCTATGCACAATACAACTTTAAACTCCACCAATACCTTCATCACAAGAATTCATTGTTTTTAAAAAATTAATTTTAAAATTTATATTTGAATGTGAACATTGTATTTCTTATCTCATTCTGATAAATATTTTTTTTTTCAGGGCGAAAAAGCTAAAGTATAACAAAAAGATGATTGATCAGATGTTTAAAAAAGCTGTGTATGAAAAAGCTGTAGTAGTTTTAAAATTAGAAGACTTCTCAAATTATAAATTGTAAGTTTACTTTTATATTTATTTTATATTTATGTATGAGTATCGTACTAGTCATATTACGAACACTGAATTTTGAAGTATTTACGAACCAAACAGAAGCCGAACCTTTTTGAAATTATCGTATTCATAGCGTCTTCAATATTATACACCCGGATCAGGGCCTGATTTAGGAATTTTGTGGCCTTAGGCAAAATAAAAAATGTGGCCCCTTGTCAACAGTAACTTATATAGCCCCCTCTACAAATGAGCTGTATGTAACAAAATGATAATTTATTACAATTTATATTAATTCACTTATAAATGTTCACAAACATAATTATGTTATACATTTTGTATCTCTACAGGCTACAGATTTCGTGTACCTATTATTTATTAATTAATATATAATATGTATATTTTTTTATTATTGATTTTGAAAACAAAATTTAACATTTTTTTTATAAATAATATTTATATTTATTAAAAAAAACAATACAATTTCATACTTAAAATAGAAATAATTTATAAGCTATTTTATAATATTACTTTTCTTGCTTTTTTAAAAACAAATTCATTTATGATGTCATCAAAGTTTAAAGAAGATGTAAAATCACTCTATTGATAGTAAACCTATCAAGTCTTTGTTGAAAAAAAAAAAAAAAAAATAAGATTCCTAAAAATAGAAGGCTCTCTATAACAGAGGCCATAGGCAGTTGCTTATCCTGCCTAATGGTAAATATGGCAATGACCCTGATGGAGTCACTTATAATGAGGTGGCTCCTGCCTTAATCTAAACTCTTAAGCTGATTCGTATGGTTTCAAATGCTTTAGTCGTCCGATGTCTTTGGTATTATCTAATAATTGGATCATCAAAGGATTTACGTGGTAATCTAGTATCGTCTCATGTTTGAGAGCAAACCTTTGAATTTCTTCGTAGGCATCATCACATCACCCTTAATATCATATCATATCGCCCATTCTCACCCTTTGGCGGTAATAAATCTCGACCCCCAAAAATGTGTGTAAAGCTTTATAATATCCTCCAGCAATGGATCTACTACAGAGTGTCTGAAATAATTCAATAAACTTTTTGTTATCTACTTTATGTCTTGTTGGAAAATATATAGCAGAGATAGTTAGATCGTTATTGCCGTCATTAATATGGACACTAGTTTCTTGTTATGTTCTTGAGGATGTTCATCAAGATCCTTATGTTTAATTAATTATTTTATTATTACTGCAGTTCTAACATGAGCCATTGCATGAATGTTCTGTTGTATATATTCGATCTCAATGTAATTTTAAAGTGGTCCACGTTGTGAAGCGGGTTTCTGAAATTAAAGGTATATCAATTTGTTGGTTCTTAATATATATAATCTTCAAGTTCTTGTTTTCATTGTGCAATCTCATTAGCATTCCTGTTATGATTCGACGCATTCTACCAATTTCTTCTTCTTTTGTGCTATGGTTTTCAGCTGGCTATTTTCAAGCCTGTCCGATCTTTCATATAATTTTTTTTTTGTGGATGGGTTTGAGCCAGTAGACCATTTTGATTTTAGTTCGAAGCTCTAGCTAAAGGTACAAAAGAAACTTCTTGAGTGACTGTTTTCCAAAGATTTTTTTGTATTCTTATCACAGCTATAGTTTTTTTGGGCGAGCTTTTTCTATTGCGTTTTTATAACTGATACATCCTTTCCAGTTTGCGGTATATCCTTCACCACAGTTTGCGCATTTTGACTTTGATTTATTTTACTTAGGGCAATTTAGTGAAATGTGTTCTTCACTACATATCACAGGATTTTGTGTTTTGAGACAGAAGTTTTGAGTGTGACCAAATATTTGGCAATTGTTGCATTGTTGCACTCCTTTTTTTCAATAGGAAAAATTGTTCCCTGTTGTAACCTATATGAAAGTCTTCTTTCATAATTTAAGAAGTAATATTTATATCATTATTATGATGGTTGCTTATCATCAAGACGGACGATATACATTTCGATTAAACCAAATCTTAAATAGTAAAACGGGTAGACCACAATACGCATTACAGCCTTTCGACTAATCTATTAAGTTTTTGTTTTGGGTCAATTTTCAAAAAATTAATAACATCAATGGGGAGTTCGATTTATATGTATTCAAAAATTTGAATAAATAATTTCATAGAACCCTTTTAGAATCTATGATTAAATACAAATAACTTATTTTTCAATACAAGTTTAGGTATTATGAATAATACTACTTTCATCTTAAAATACTTATTGAAGTTTATAATTTTAATTAATTTCAGGAGCTCAGCTAGAAAGAAGGAAAATAAATCTATAGTCTACCAGTCTGAAAAAAAAAAAAAGATATTGGCTTCAAATGAATTGACGTTGTTATTAACTAGAAATGGTGAATCTGATAATTATAAATCAAAATTCAAGTCGTCATTAAAACCTAACAGGGGAAATGCTTCTACCAGTTCATTTATAAATGTTGAAGATCAACACTCTAAATGTATGAATGTGTTTGAATTAAATGAACCATCATGTTTGGAAAGTGCCGAAGGAAAGGAAGTTGAACAACCTTTAATTGAAAAAAATTGTGAAAAAGTTAATTTAATACAAATTGAAAAACTACATAAAAATTATTTTAACAAATTCGTGCAAGATAATATTGTAATTATTGCAAATTTAATGAACAGTATTTCAGAGTCAAAAAAATATTACCAAGTACGAATAGATGAATCTCTTAAGCAAATATTTGCAGTTGAAAAACTCAGAGAAGAAATAAATGCCATCCAATTACATGAAAGACACAAAAATGTCTTAGAAAAAAAGTTGGAGAACATTTTTAAACACGTCATTTCAAGTTTTGATGCAGTGCACTTTGATTTGGCATTTCAAATGCTTTTTCTAAGTATATTAGTTGTATTTCAAACTTTGGATCAGTCCAAATTCAACGATGATACCATCTTTGAAAATTTGGTCCTATTATTAGATTATAGTTTAAAAAACAGTGAACATATTCATTCCAATATTTCTTCAATACTCCAATCAAATAAATTTCGATGTGACTGCATCAATTTAAAAAGCCTTATTGAAGATAGTCGGAATACTGACCCCGGAATTACCGATCGCATGCCATTGTATTTTGTAAAAACACCACAAAGCCTAAAATATTTTCAATTAGTTATTGATGCTGTCACTACCAGTGATTCCAATGAAGATTTAGAATTATTAGTCAATAACGCCATTTTTCATTGTTATATAAAATCAGAGTTAAAAGATCCTGTAGATTTATGAACTGTACAACATTCAAAAGCCAAAGTATCATTGACAGAATTACAGAAGCTATTCAAAGGTTAGGCCTATAAATTCAGAAGAAACAATTCAACACTAGTTCCTAGACAATAATCCAGACGGAACTTACTCGTCAGTTTCTTTTTTTTTTATATGATTACCTTTATGGAACGTTTAGTTGCCATAAAATATTTAAATATATTTATTTTACTTTTTAGACCCCCAAAATAGATTTTGTATTTATACTGTTTTTGCTTTTATTTACTTAAAATATTCAAATTAGTGACGTCCAGGTGAATTTATTTAATTTGTATTATTTAGAATGTTTTTATAATTAATATATTACTTATTATTTATAAATTATTTTTTCCTTACTTATTTATTATTATTTTTTCAATATTATATTATATTTTTAGATTCTGAGATGAGCTATGAATTTATTGAGTTCACAATCATGTGTTTTTTATTTAGTTTTCTTTTTGTGTCTGTCATCTCAGTATGTGGCAGTAAAAGTCCTTCCAATTTTTTTCAACAGCAACTTTTCTGCGAGGAAAGTGAATCAAGTTGATGCGTTCTGGTCAAAATTTAAAATTCTAAATAGTTTTCAATAGCGGCAGGAAAAACAAACAAAATATTAATTAAAAACGGTAACTTTTACGGAAACTGGTTTTCGATAAAAATTGATATTAATTTTTGATATAATTTGTATCTGTTTTTGTTCAAAATTGTCTTCAATAGTGTTAGCTGGTCCATATTGAATAGTGGTATATGATATACCATATATCAATCTTAGATTGATTAAATGAGTTCTCTATCACTTGGAGACATCTAACAATAACTTCAGTTCTTGATTTTTAATTACATCTACTAATAATGCTCAACTCTTTTTGATTAAATGTTACCCGACTGTATACTAAGAATAAAAATAAATGCCTATTATGTAACAATATTATCACAAGTGAATATGTGATTAAATTTGTTCTTACCATTAATAATTTTGTGGCTAAGCTGTTGCATCATATTCACCATAATATCATGTAATTATAATTTTGTGTATTATTGTTATATTTAGTGCTATTATGGCCCGACATGTTCATGTTACTAACATACAATGGATTGTTAGTTTTTTAGATTTGTTACTCTGGTTATTTGATGGAGAGGCAAAAAATTGTTTTTTTTTTCATTATTTTCTGTCACAGATGGTGTTACAAAAGTGATATTTTCTCTTTGACTCAGCATATGATTCTAATAAAAAATTTACATGCATTTAGTGAATTTTGAAAAGTTTTTGAGGAGCAGTTATTCTGGTAGTATGTATACTTCCAGGACAATGACAAATACATTTTTTCAATACATGATCTACCCTGAACTACACGAGTACTCCTTCAAAAATTAAATTATAACCAATTGTTTTTGATTTAAATTATCAACCATAACTATAAAATTAGCTGATAAATAGGAATCGAAGTGTTTAAAACAACAATAAAGCATTTTGTTACCTAGTAATATTAATAAATAATTAATGTCTTGTATTAAGTTTTAGTAACTAACCTTGGACATCCAAAACGATCCTAAAATCTTTTTTCTGCTATTTTTCTACTATGGTATATTTTTCTGCTTTTTATTTATATTATAAAATTGCAAATACCGTTCATAATTTTGGCCAGCAACAGGAAAGCTTTTGCTTATTGGTGTCAGAAAGGTTATACGAATAGCGATTGATTGCCTCATATTGTCCGAGGCAACAATAAATTACATTGTAGTCTCCCTAGTGGAAATAACTAGCCTTCAATTTGATGATATTAATATGAAATAATTCTATACTAGATGATATGTTATTTTACTCGAACATATCAACTGATGTAGAATAGCAATTCAAATTGTAAATAGGACAGATATTTTCAAATTAAGAGCAAACTAAAACAATTTAGCATTCAGATTAATAATATTTTTAATGACGTATACAATGTTTGATGACATAATAGCACAGGTCTTTTTTAGTTAGGTTTTGGTTTTAGTTTTTGAATTCATATGGTAGCAGATGTTGACATAATTAATGTAGAATATTGGATGACAGATTCAAGTGGTATATTTTCAGGCAAAAGGCCTTCATAATGATAGACATCTAAGTATGGGTGCAAACATACCTCAGACATCAAAATATTACTACATTTTGGTTCTTCTATTATATGGTTGTACAGTTGAATCAAGGGAGAAGAACCAGGTCTGTAGTATTTTTTTTATATGTTGTAAATAGTTTTCATAGGGGAATGATGAACAATTACCAACTACACCATTTTTATTAGCATCATTTGGCAAATGAATAAATGCATGCACATAATATAGTACATTTCATTTACTCATTTTGACTGTAAACTGTTCTTGTACAACTTAAAATTCTCATTACAATATTAAACATTATAAAGGTGTTATAAGCTGGCAAACTCATTATATGTGTAAATAAAAATGGTCCTGAATATAACATAATTTTCATCATTATGAAGTTTTAAATGTATGATATTTTTTTTATTGTAATCAATTTTTAGCACATGATTTGATTGACCAAATTTATTCAAGTCGATTTGACTCATAATACTTGGCTCTAAGTTTAAAATTGAATGAATGACACAATGACGCCCATTATTCAATTTAAAAAAAGAAATGTTTAATTTAACTGTATAATTATTTCATTTTATTTTTTTTCATTAAATGTTATAATTATTATTTATATGATTATTATTTATTATTATTATCATTATAATTAATAGCAGTAGTAGTAATAATGAATATTGTTACAATTTTCATTAACGTACTACAATAAACACAAACAATAAAATGTATATAAAAATTAAATAACATACCATGGAACTTATACACAACAGATGGAACTATATGGTCCATAATAAAAAAGAAACACCTTCAGTAGTCAAGCACAAATGAGACACTAATTGAGAACATTATACAATAAAATATAAAAGAAAAAAAAAAGAAACAAACAAAAATATCAGCGCTTAAAATAGAAGATTCCAAACAATACAAAATCCAGGACAGAAATTTTTTAAGTGTCTACATTTTTGCTACCATGTCTTATGTACACTAAATACAGTAGAAATTGTATGAAATTATTTTTTCGAAATTTTAATAAAACTCATTATCTAAATATGCTGCCATATTTTTTGTTGGCTGTTGTATTGATGTATAAATTGAAATAAATAGCAACAAGAAAAGTTAGTATTTAAAAACTAGGTTAAGAAAACAATTCCAAAATATCCACACAGTACAAAATAAGCAATGCAACAACACAAAAATTAACATTCAACCAACTAAGCTAAGATAACACAACTCAGCAATAAAACAACCATTTGTATAATTGTATGTATAGTCAGTAAGCATAATGTAACTGGGTTAAATATAATATAAATTTTATCGATAGGACTACTAACAAAAATTAATATATAAAGTACACAAAAATACCTAGAATATCGTAGTAATCGGAAATATACGACAATAGTTAAGCTATAAAATAGTTTTAATAATTTTAAACTTGGATTTATAAAATTAAACAATTTAAAAAAAATCCAGAGTGATTTACTTGTCTCCATCTGCTCAAAAGTTGGCCAATCTTGACAGCAGGCATTACACTTACATTCAAACCAATACCTATCACAACAAATCCAGTGTACTTCAATTAATTGCCAACGATATTTTGTTGTGTTTACTTCATATAATAATTTATTGGCTGTGCCTGATAGTCAAAGTATCCGAACGCCAACTCTTAAGATTTTTAGTGTTTGTCTACAACTACTGAACAGTATAATAATTCGATTTTATTCTATTTTCTACAAATATTTTTAATAATTTTACAAAAATAAAATGGTGGTCAGACATAATGTATATATTATGGCTACTCATGACCGTAAAACGAGATTTTAGTAGCTAACTATCAGTAGCTCTCAAAGATATTTCATTAGTGTAGTCATCATTCAATTAACTTGTAAAAATAAGTTTTTAATTCTATACAAAATGTCAACGGTAAACAAATTGATGATGACCTTTTGTAAAATATATTTTTCATCTGAGTACATCATGTGTTCAAACGTTATTCAAAAAAATATACATTGAAACAATACAAGAAAACCCACAATACATATCAAAAATAAACAAGTTTAACCTTACTCGTTAATACGCTATACATGACACGTCCCAGGCACAGGTACCTAGTAGACACACATCAAACCGGCACAACCAAACATTTTATCACGCACTCACAGCCATCGTATCTGTGCTATTGTCACGATCGGTGCCGCTTGGACTGTTAGAGTGGAGACAACGCTCCAAAAAAGATGAATTTGGGTCAGGTAGAAATAAATAAATTTACCTCATCGGAGACGAGTGCCGACACCTTTGGGACTCGTATCTACCAATTACGACTTTTCGAGTGAATGGGACAACCTCCAGTACCGTATATGCGCAGCATTTTTTGTTTCCTCCGAAATTCGAAGAGATAATATTATGTACGACTTGTACTAGTACTCAGTGTGTGTTATAAAGGTGTTTGTTAGATAGGTACCACGGTTTAAGATAAATCTTAAACCGTGATGGGTACCTATATCACTTTGTAATCAAATTTATTATCTCGATTGTCGCGACCCGCGATAACATAGCGTCTGGCAATCTTGATGATAATGATATTGTGTTCGTCTTAAAGTCGCTCGAAGCTCGAACCTCGAACGCTGTTCTACCGCCCACCTATGTCGTTATTCTGTATGGTATAATAAAAGCAATAATAATTTTAAATTAAAATGACAGTTCACTTTAATTATCGAACAGTGTTCTTAAACTTCAATTAATTTTTTTAATGCCCACTCCTTCAAAATTGTCTTTATATAATATTGTACATTACTGTACATTATAATAAATACACATACACACGTACTGTGTACATGGCTACAAATATAAAATATTTGTGATCTCTCCTACCATTCTATACTTTTATATAGTTATTATTCTTATTAATATAATTTAATATAAAAGTTAGTTGAATTTAAGCAGCTAACAAGCCGCCCTTAAATAATGAGTTATAATATTTATACTTGTTGTTGACCAAGTAACTGTTGTATAAAGTGAACGAATACATTTTTTTGGGGAAAGCTGTTATTATCAACTATCAAGACGTTATTGTATTATAGTTATTGCTATCATCTTTATTGGTTTTTTACACGATACTGTCAAATCTTCTTTTGTATTTTGTTATTTGTACTTATCGATCATTGGTAAATAATATTGTAAGACTCAACTTCGCCGGTATTCAGTTGTTATATTATTCTATAATGCGTAGGTATTCATTGTTTTGTTATTTAGCGATGTTAATGATAGTACGAACGTGAAACGACCATATTATGGCCAAATTCTAATTACCTACGTATTTTAGTTTTGTAAATTGTTGTGATTATAGACTGTCGTCTAGTCGTCCGTCGATTAAACCATTTGCATAAGAAATAAAAGTACGTATATTCTATTTGTTCCTTCTGTTGATACAACAGGCCAATACATGTTGTTATTGTCTAGGTAATATGGTAATGGTACGTAAAAACTGTTGTTGCTCATTCAATATAGCACTAATTGTTATAAATTATCTAATTATATTTTAGGCTAATGGTCTCATAGATTCCTGAATCCAAACATACCGAACAAATAGGTACATTACCATTTTTAATACAAATTGACTTACAAATAATAGACTATAAAATAGTATACTAAAAAAAATTAATTACTCAGTTTATTTCTCTGAAAACAATTCTAGTTCAAGTACTAACTGACTAAAAGTGAATGGTGTGCCAACCTTATACTTATCGGTAAAAAAATAAAATTATAATATAATTTGTAATACTCAAAAGTGTATTTGTAAATTTATTAATATACACCCTTTAATTATTTTACCATTTGAAATATTTTTGACCTGTATATGTAGTAATAAGGTGCACTGTTTGGTGAAAGAGTGATTAAATACCTAGGCATAATTTTATTTTTGATAAATAGAATTAAATAATATTCAATACTTTGTACTTACCCACTTTATTTATTTTGCATTATTTTCGTTCAATCATTTCAGCAAATACCATGTATATGAAACCAATTGATTTCAATTCAGATGGATACTGGATAATGAGTGAGACACCTTCTACATAAGTTGGTTTATGCTTATCTGTCATTTATCTTCTAGCTTTCACTGATGAGTTAAACTAACTGAAAATTTAATTAGGTACTTCTGATTATTTACATTATCAACACGATAAAACAATTTAATTAAATATAATATACTAAACTGTTTAGTTTTAAAATTAAAATTAAATTGTTTTTATATCTTTTATTTTTTTATAATTATTAATTATTTAAATTTATTAAATTAATTATACAATGGAGCACTTGATTGATCATGATTATTTCATCTTACCAAGTAAGAATTTATAAAGTTATTTAATATATAAAGAATTTATAAGTATTAATATCACATTATTCTCTCTTTATGATTTGTAGTTGTAATGATTTTCTTTTTTTAATGGAAAATGCATTAATTTTTTCAGTTCAAGATGTAGCTGAAGTAGTGAATGTTGTTGCTGACGGTATGCCTTTTACATTGATCTATTTATTAGAATATATACATCCAAACAAATCATATTAATAGTTTATATCTTGGGAAATATACAATTAATCAATAATAAATAATATTTAAAATAATCTAATAAAATAACAAATATACAATACAAAACATTAGCCACTATAAAAAAATTATTATAAAACTATTATAAAAAAATAAATACTTTGTCATAAACCAGTTGTGAATTAATTAAAATAAGAATTCCGTGCTTAATTTTCTAAGATTAATATTTAAGTCATTATTCTCTTATAGACATTATAATTCAGTTTTGGCTAATTGGAGATCGACCAAAAACTTCCGGGTGTACATCAAAATGAAGAGGTTATCGAGGATAATTTAGGGTTTCTTTACTTTAGAAGTAAATTGACAGAAAAAAAAGTGTAAGTTATTTCTGGTTTGTTCTTTAATTATATTATTTTATTTTATTTTATTTTATGTATACAAAATTAGCAAAAGCCCGCAAATAAGAAACAACACAATTTGTAAAACATAACAGTGCATTATATAATGAAAATAGTGAGTATAATATAAAAGATATAGTGTCCATATAAGTAAGTACAATTTGGCAATTATTATTCTACTAATATTTGTTCAATTTTATTATTTTTTCTTAATATATAATTTAATTACTTTATATATTAGATATTTAAAATGTAAAGAAACTTCAACGAATGGATACCCAGCAACTGCTATTATTTCTTCGATTATTGAGGACAATGGTTTTTCACTCAGAAGATTGCATAATCATCGAGTTCGAACATCAGACACTAAAGTGAGGGAACTTAGAAATGTACTTGGTAACAAATGTGTACAACACTCTGCCCACTCATATATAGCTCGCACTTTATATGTTGAAAGTATTGTTAGGTAATTATACTAATTATATTACTATTTAATGTAAATATTTTAGTAAGAAATAAATCTTACTACCCTGGTTTTATATTTTATTATTGTACTAGTCACCCAGAAGGTGCTACTAATTATACTTTTCTACAAACTGCTGAGAGGATGAAAAAATTCGGAAATCTGTTTTTCCACCTACACCTAAGAACTTGAACCACTTGAATGATTTGTTACTATTAGAAAATAATAGACATTTCACTATGACATTTCAAACACCAGAAAGTTTGTACGTTTTTTAGTCATCATGCACATTATTTCTATCAGATTATTAATTTAATAATCTTTTTTTAAGATTCTATCAAGGACCGCTGATGGTTGATGGCACAATTGTGGCTGTATTGTTTTGCAATATTAAATATATTGAAAACATAAAAAATGAATTAAAAAATGTAAGTTGATACATTGAGAATGGTTTCAATGTATTTATATGACGTATTCAGTGTAATTAACTTTCTTGTTTGTTTGTTTTTTTTTTTTTTTTAAGGTAAGAATAGCCGGCTGTGACGGTACTTTTAAAACGGTTCCAAAAACTATTGATGGGGATTGTTATCAACTTTTTACTTTTCATATGATATATAAAAATATTGTAAGTACTAACAAGTAATATACTAATATCACCATTAAAACTCCCTGTATAGTGTATACTGTAAATAGTTTATTTAGTTGACTAATTTAATATTTCCTATTTGTTGACAGAGTTTCCCGATGGTATATGCTTTACTAACTGGTAAAACAGAAGTTATTTACAAGGAGCTGTTTCAATATGTCCGTCATGCTTTACCCTTGCAATATGATAAATTGACAATAATTGCGGATTATGAGATATACCAGATAAATAGTATTGCATTAGTATTTCCGGAAAGTACCCATCAAGGTTGCTATTTTCATTATTGCCAGGTAAATTTATTCTTACACCAACTGAATATGATGAAATATTCAAACAGTATATCATCTAAGAAAACAATATAATAAATATATTATATATCAATTAAAATATAGGTGAATTATAATTTTTTGAAAATACAAATATAGGTACATACTAGGATCAAATCGAAATATATTATCTTCATGTTGGTTGGCTGTACATTGATATTGTTCATTGATTTTAGATTAAAAAACTGTATCATTAACAACTTCTTTATACCAAATAATTTTACCAGGTCTGGGATCTCTTTCAGGCTGTAGATAAACTACTATTTAGTTTTTATGTTTAGTATTATTTAGTATTTATGTTTAAAAAATTGTAAGTAGTAACTTAACATAGCCTATGTACTTACTATTAAATTAGTTGGCATATTATAGTTCATATTATGATCAGCATACAATGATAGTAAATTAACATCTCTTATTTTTGGCAGAATTGATATAACTTAATACATCTGCTGGAATGCTTGGCACTATTGAGGTAATACAAGCAGGTACCTTTATAGTTTAAAATCTGTGCAAGATATAATTTATATAAATAAATAGGTAATAATTCAAAAATCTATATCAATATAAAAACATTCTAAAATGTAGAATTAAACTGAAAAACTTAGTTGTTGATTATTGTGAACTTGTAACATGAAAATATCAACACATTGTATAGGATTAAAATTAAAATTATTTTTTATTTTTGTGTTTTATGAATAGTCCATTTTAAGACATATGAGGAATAAACAAATACAAATTTATAACCTAGTAAAGGTGAATCCTATTGCAGCTCAAATTTTTAGGATGGTAATTTAACTTTTAAAATAGTACTTATTAATGAGATTCAAACATTTTTGTATTGATAATTTTAACAGATACTTGCTTTACCTTATCCAGGTAAAGTATTCCAGGCAGTATTCCAAGTATGTTGGATGGATTCAATGCTATTATAATATACACGGTTCAACATCAAGAAGTACCGAATACCATAGTTTTTTGTATGACTATGTTTTTGGATTCTGGTTTGTTAGAATGCGTCCTGAAAAATGTACAGTGTATAATAGAGATATACGTACAAACAATTTTTTGGAGAGCTTCCATGCTGCTCTTCTAAAACTAATCAAACCTCATCCCAAAATATGGGAGTTCATTGGCATAGTTTTATGTGTCGTGAAACTGTGTTTGTGTTTATCTGTTAAATAATTTTATGTTATAGGTTTGGAAAAATAACAGTTTTTGAGTAAATGTGGCATTACTTTGGGATCTAATGTTATTTAAAACTGCCTGTGAATTTTAGAAAATTGGTTATCATTATATCTACCTATAAATGTACGTCAATATTTAGTCATAAAATATACATGAACTTAATGGTTATTTTTTTATGTAGAGATCAGATAAGGTTTTTAGAAAACCAGCACGTTACCGAATTCCATCAAGTATCAAATAATATGAAGTTATATATTTTAAAATGCTTATACCTCGCTTGTAATATGTAAAAAAATCTTCTAAATTTGGTAATAAGTACACTAGCACTAGCTATTGAAATAAAATACCTTTTTAGATTCGTTCTGGTGTTCCTTCTAAAGCTAGAGAATTGAATACTCTAGCAATTGAAAATTTCAACCAATAACAATGAACATGACAAAGTTCAAACATTTTTACGCAGAACAGGCCATAGAATTGATGGATATATTACTCAACAAATTGGCCCATATCCTAGTAAATAAACAATATTTAAATGATGAATGACAGTAGGTTTATTCATTAATGATCAGCAATTACAATTTTTAGGTGAACAAGAACTGCTACTAGAAGAAGCTACTGAAATTAATATTTTTTATCAAAACAATTATTATCTTTTTATATAAATTTATCATTATTTTAAGTCAAATTATTCATTATTATTTATGACTATCATTTTTAAATATGACTTGTGCTAATTTAATCTAGCATTACTGTGACTGTAATTAATAACTAACCAATTGACAGTGTTGTAAAGTATTTAACTACAAAACCAAATTAACATAATCTACATACTTATATGTTGGTACAAAAATGTACAATATATACCATAATTTATACTAATAGATACCATTTAATACATTTTAGGATTATTGCATAGCTTATTATTAAAGACTGGATTTATATGTTTTTGCATGTCCTTACTGGGTCTATGCAGTCTTATGAGAGTAAAAAATGTGGACAATTCGATTGATTATTTTTGCATATTTTAAAAATTTTTAAGAGAATATAATGAGAATATTTGAAAGTTTTTTTAGAGATTATTAGCATCATATTTTAGGTATTTTAAGAGAATATAAATCCAGTCTTTACTTATTATGTTAATTAGGTGATGATTTTAGTTATTATTGGTAATTTTAGTATTATAGCCAATTAGCCATATTTTCAATATTGTATTATTGTTATAGTTTTAATAAATTATTTATATATATTTTTCCAACTCACCCTTTAGTGTTGTTTGAGTTTTGAAATTTCTATTTGTTATCTTTATCTTGTATTCTCCAATTCCCGCTTAAGTTTGCTTTCAATTTTTACTCTTGTCTCTTTGTATTTCTAATTTTCCTTGTTGAATTCAAACTTCAAAGTGCAAATACTTAGCTGTAGTTATCAATAAGCCATATAAATACAATGTAACTCAAATTACCAGTCATAAAAAAGTATGATAATGCTAAGTAAATTATAAATACTTACTAAATCATGGCAAAATAAATTTATTTTGTCATGTACTAAATGATTACCAATTACAATTATTAACATATGAAAATGTAACGTTACAATTCTACGGATGATTCATTGATGCTATAAATGGATTTAGATTTATGATATAAATAGATACAAAATAGATTTTTCATGACAAATGTCGATTACAAAAATAATAGTAGTGAGTACAGTGTACAGTGAGTTATGAATAGAATGGTTGAATTGAAACGGAGAATATTTCAGTTGTACCCATTACCCAGTATGGTTGTAGCCCGCAGAGTTGTTTATAATTAATCATTATCATAAATGTTTAAAAATAAACGATCACTGATCACTGCTGACAATAACAATACTAGTAATAGTAAATTACTCGGAAATAAACGTAATATCAGTTTAAAAATATTTATTCATATTCGGGCATAGACATAATATTATAATGTCTATATTGTATTCGGCATTTGATAATCGGTAATTATATCCAAATACGGAGAATTGGATCCCCCACCGTGCTTTCAATATTTTATCCACAAGATATCTTTTAACTTCAAAGACAGTGATTTTATAATGATTTTAAACTTTCTAAAAAATTCTTAGTAAAATTCGAATAAACGTCTAAATGGTTAGACTTTTTCTTTTGTATACTTTCCTATTATATTATCAAATAGTAAACTTGAAAAAAAATTGGGGTGGAAATGTACGCATCAAAAATGTATCAGGAAGGGGGGGGGAATGTCCTACTAGTGAACAGCCATACTAAAAATATTACCGCTAAGTCCACAACTTGATTTTCTATAACGATATTAGTGATCTTCCTTATTTTTTCATGCAACTTGCATGATGCAAGACGCAAGTTGCATGAAAAAGACACCAACCTTATAATAGTAACACACTACAAAAAATTGTGCTGAATTTTTAATATTTTGCTTATAGTAGTAGCCTTTTATTACATTTTCAAGTTTTTTTACTCAACAAATAAAATTTTATTGACATTCATAAAAAAATAAACTAAAAAAATTTCAGAACAGTTCAAAACAAATCAGAATATTTTGAAAATTGTATCGTGTATAGAAATTAGAAACTGCTAATATAAACAACCAGTGAAAATAATATATTATATATACGGTCGTTTGTATTAGAGTTACACCAAAAACCAAAATCGATTTTGCGTAAAATTTCCATTTATCCTTAATTTTTATGTTTTCCTGAATGTACCAACTGGATCCACTTTCCTATCCAACAAGATACTGAAGATTAAAATTGAGGCATCATTTCGAGTATTTAACGCGTACATAGACAAAAAAAAATAAAAAATAAAAAACACACATTATTGTTAAATCAATACATTTATCGCTCCGCTCACAATGTAAAATGTATTATGACAACTAGCATTTACAGAAAAATATATTCTTTAAAATTGTATAAATATTTTTTTAAAAAAACGCGGAATATATGACTACATATTTTATATGTATTATACAAGGTTTACAAGCATTAAGCATTAAATTATGGCACAAGCGCGTTATTTTTTTTTTACGTTGGTCACACTTTAAATGTCAAAATTGTTGTATCTCTATCCTTATCAATTTTCTGACAACTACCCCATACCCGTTGGTTTCATATTGAGTATCAATGTAAATAGTTGGTTTAAATTTTAATTTAATTTTCTTTTAAAGTGATTATAAGAACAGTAATAATAATATTCTTTACTTACAGAAATACATTTAAATAGTATAATTATAATTATATTGTAATAAAATAATTTGACAGTATACCAATGTAGTAGATTAGTAAACAAGTCATGTACAAGGATTATATACAATTAATGTAATAATAATAACATTTTAATTTCAAGATCATTATTTTTATTTTAAAAGTAACTGATGAAACTTATGAAACTGATGTCAAACCTACAATAATAATATTATCTTCTATAATTTTTGTAAATAGTAATGAACTTGAAAATTGTAAAAAATCATTCTACATGACTAATCCATTAGAGTGAAAACAAATACCTATTGAGCTAACATCCTCTTAAATACTTAAACTATCGTATTGTATTATTTAAATGGCATGCAGAATGGAGACTTAAGAAAATTTTCAGTAGTGTATAACATATATTTTGATTTAACAGATGAAAGATAAAATATTGATTTACTTCAAGAACTAATTGGGTTCATCCTAAAATACATGAATTATTATTAGTATCAAATGAGTTATGCTACTATCATATTGATTATATCACAATGATATATTGAGAACTTTTTTACACTCTTATCTTATTTATAAATATCAGATATTAGTTAGTTTAGGTGAATTATTATAATTTATCATGATACTAGATTTTGTCAGTAACAAAATAAACGTGATCAGTGAAATCATTCTTAAATTTATTTGCAATTATTTTTCAAAGTTTTGTACATAATATAAGAACAAAAAAGTACTTATTTTAAATTTAAATTTTTTTTTAGAAGCTACAGGCATAAGAACAAGAGGATTACCTAATGGATTTACACTTGACAATAATAAATTGAGATAATCAACTGTAATTTTAGTATTATAATATGGTCATACATTTTTAAAATGTTTGGTGAATAAATTAAAAAATAGTAAAACAGTTACATCATGTTGCACTTCAATATGGCGTTCTGATTTTGGTATGACACCGCTAACCTTAGTGTGTTTGGAACCAACACACGGAAAACCATTCATATTTTTAAGACAATATTTTTGTTCTTCTTTACAGCCAAAATGAATAAATACATATCCTTTACTATTACCAGTACTGTCTAAGACCACTGAAAAGTTATAACTGTACATTAATTTACTATTGTAGTACACAAAGTGGTATTTAATAATTATTATAAATATTATTTTTAATGGCACTAAACGTATTATATTTTAGAATTGTTATGCTTTTCCTTTAGCTGCATGTATATATGGGTATCGGCAAGCAAATGTTTTACATAACTAATATAGTCATCTACATCTTAGCTACATTCACCCAGCCACACAGAAAAATATTTATTTCTCTTAGTAAGTTTTCTAGGATTTCCAGGGTGATTGAGCTTAAATATTATAAGCTGAAAATAATTATCTAAAATCAGTGTTAGCATGTGAGGTATAGGATAGAGCACAAAAAATGTATAAGATTTGTATTTTATATTTATATATTTTTATTTTTGTACTATGCTAGCTGAGTTGCCCCGGTGTGTGCAATTTTTACTTTCTCTTAACAAAATAAGTAAATCAATTCACATAATTGTGTTTAAAAAAAGAAAAAAATGTATTTTAATCAAGGTGTGCTAAATAAGAGTAGTGGTGTACAGGATTATAACTGAAACGACAAATAAAATGAAATCTTAAGTAAAAGTCACTCATAGGCACATTTGGTACTAACTTGTTAAAAAAAAAGATGAATAAAATGTTTAAATTTACTGGTAGTCAATAGATAATAAAATAACTTTACCACTTTGGCTCAGGGACCAATGTGAATATTTAACATGAAAATAAAGTCTAAGTCTATTTAAGGGTGGGGTCCGGGTCTAGACCCTCCCCCCACTATTGATTGACAGAATTTAAAATTCTGAAGTTGTAAACCACTTATTGTACTGGGTAATATACGATTGCGAATGGAACGATTGCGAACGGACCTTTTCCGGTAACACGATTGCGAACGTTTTTACCTTCCTTAAATCATGCGGTGTTGTCAGATTTGGTACCAATAACAAATTTTTAAATAATAATTTAAAAAATAATCATATAGTAATATAAGGATTTTCTGCTATTACGCCGGGTGATAAGATAGATAGGTACGATGTAGAATATCTATAATATTATATCTTTATTAATTTGATGGAAAACCTGCTCAATTCGTATAGTCTGATAGTCGTGCAGTATTATTTGTAATTAAATATCTACAGATTAATGGAGATTCAAATTTGAGAAACGCATACAAAGATAACAACAATGAATTAGGTCAATGCTTAAAATTATTTTTTGGCTTACCGTTTTTACCCGGTGACGAAATTGAAGATGCATTTTTAGCATTAATAGCCGAATGCCCCAGCCTAGAAGAAGGTCATGTTTTTACAGACTATTTAGTATCAACATATATTGCACCTGATTCATTATTTCCCCCCATATCTTTGGGCACAAGAACCCTCAGTAAATCCAAGGTATGATTTAAAAAAATTTTAAATTAAATTCTTGTTCCTTCCTACTTTAATTTTACCAGTTAATATAAAATCTCTAAGTTTTTATAATTATTTTTTAGAACTACTAATGGCCCAGAGAGCTTTCACAGGACGTACAATGGTCAGTTTTATAGCCCCCATCCTCCAACACATGTAGTTATATCAGTTTTAAAAGAAACACAAGCTCAAACTTTGGCAATAATTAATTCTATTAAAAACAATGTACATAAGCCTATGGCCAAAAAAGATAAACTTTTAATTGAATCAACTTAACAAAATTATAATGATTATAAAGTACACAAAGATCTAATTTTATATTTAAGAAAAACTGGGAATTCCTACCAGGGAAAAAATTTTTAAAAAAGTAAAAATGTAGAAAATTTTTTTTTAAAAACTATTATTTTGAGTGTATTATTATGTATAATATTATTTTTTCATTCAGAACTCAGATATTATCAGTATTATTAATATTTATACAACGAAAACAGTTTTAATTAATCAACATTTTAAACATTACTTATTATTTTAGTTTGTAACGAAGAGTTGTTGTCTTAATTGTATTATTAATACCAATAGTTTATATTTAAAAAAAAAAAATGTTTTAATTGAACTCCTGAACAAAACATATTCAGAAATATAAACTTGGCAACGTAGTATATAAAAACGTTCGCAATCGTTCGTTTTTCGGCAAAAAAAACAAATTCTCTGATAAGCGTCATTCGTTCGCAATCGTGTTATAAAAAAGGTAAAACGTTCGCAATCGTGTTGTACCCATTATAATTAGTATAATCTGCAATAAACACTACGGGAATTGCATAACTTAAACTTTAAGTGTATTTATAAATACAATAAAACTAATCTTTATCTTGCATATACGACTTTAATCAGAAATGATAATATCACGTCAATTTTACTAAAATGTACAGGCTGGCTGCGTGTAATAATGTACAATAATAATACATGGGTGCTAGTTCCCTAATATTTCGGATGCCTCTATCTACACCGGCCGACTTATGTATTGTGTCTATGTGTATTATGTATAGCGACTCTAAAGAAGTGGAAGGGGTCGGCGAGCATGACTAGAGAGTGCTAGTGTGTGGTTTGTGTGAGCTTAAAAACTAAAATAATGATAACACGGTTTCTGGTAGCTTTGAGTTAATGTATAATGTAAGGTTGAATAATAATTTATAAAAATATAATATAAGAAATTACAGCCCTTATGGCTGAACAGTGCAAATGATAATATTATGGCCCTTCTGGATCAACAACTCCCGTATATAAATATAATAAAAATTATAACCAAAATAAATAAAACGTCCAGTGTATCGGTGCTCTGCTATCCAGCCGCTACCTATAGCAACAATAAATAATACCTAATTGACACACATGATGTATAATAATAAATAATAATATAAAACACATTGGTGATTTGCGCCTACGATATATGATAGTTTAATTACGAGTAATATGAACGTCGATTCGTGGCTATAGATGGATATAGTCTGCAACGACGTTCGCGGCGATTAGTGCACACGGTCGATCAATTATAAAGATATGGGCATATAGTGATTCACACAGTAAAATAAATTATAAGGACAACTGAGATTTGCGCAAGTGAAAAATTGTTATATAATTACAATAAATATAAATAATCTTCGATTCGCGCCTGTGAGAATCACGTTTACGCATTGACATTACTGAACGGACTAAAATAATTGATTGCAGCGGCCATGTTAATCTCACCCGGACCAACACGTCTTGGCTTAATCTGCTTAATATAATTCACACAATTATAAGAAAACAGAAACAATATAAATATACATAGATAGGTGAACTGATAATATGTTGTGTCCGTGTGTGTGTGAGTCGCCTCGGTGACAGTTATAAAAATTAGAACTATAAACACTTATAAAAATTGAATTTGGCTTTCCAGTATTGTATGTGTCCGACACAAAGAGATGATTGAAAAAAAAGCGACACTCGGTGGAACAACAAATACACAGAGTGCTATATCATAACGCCTACTTATGTTTGGGGAGGCAACCTAACCAACGCGGCTGACCAACGAAGAGTTGGCAAACTCTGTCACAACGACAACAGTAGGAAACGGAGCTACTGGTGGTTGTATGGAATGGGGAAAGCGAGTTTACGTAGGAGCAGGATGATAAAGTTTAGTACAAGGAGGAGCTTTTCTCTACGATCCGATCGGTCATCAATGATCGTAGAGAGTATACTTTAAGAGGTGGACGTATGTTAAAGTCTGCGCTCTTTAATACAGAGTCTGTAATCTGTATCCTACATACCAGAGGTAGTCATGTGCGGCCCTCGAGCCTTTCATATCTGGCCTGAGCTACATTTACAAATTACATTACAAACAAAATAAATGCTAATTAAAATATATATTTTGAATGACCCTTTTATTTTGCTATCTATGTTCTTGCCCTCTAGATTTTAATTTTCTAAAAATTGGCCCTATAATAACTTTGAGTTGCGCATCCCTGCTACAAACAGTTTATAATATGCTACATACTGTTTAGCGTTGAGCGCTATCTACTGGCACCGAACAGTTGTTGGTGTGCCGATGAGTGGGGGATGCGTGGGTACCTTGGATCATATACAGTAGATAGAGCCATACGAACTATTTGTGAAGCCAACATCACTGTAGGATCTCGGTGATATGCCCATGCGCGTGGTCTTTTATCATTAATGTTTGGCGCAGAGTGCAGACGCGCAGTTGATAAACAAGTTACAACACTAACAACATTGTATATGATCTAAGGAAAAAACAGATTGATATATTATGATAAGCAGTCGCTTGTGCGCAGATGTCACAGGTCTTATAGTAATGTTGTTATCAACTCATTTTATACGCGTAGTATGCTATGACTCCATCCATTGTATATGATCTAAGGTGGGTTCGGACTCGTTTTGCCTGGATACACTTATATTTAACCTTGAGCCGGAGTATACTCATTTTTGAGGTTAGTAACTGTTACCTTGTTGTTATGCTTGTGAGTCGTGGTTTCTGCTGAACAAATTGAATAAGAACAGTGTACATTTTTATATTACTGGTGGCTACATCTCGGGCTGTAAGTAGTGATTAGTCTAGTTTATTTTTCGGTAGAAAATATAGATACGGAATTCGGATTTTCTATAATTGTATCACCACAGATGCTGTTATTAATCGTTATTTATTAATTAATTTTCAACAGAGTTAAACGTCGTCTTACCATAGTGGCTGCTCAGTGTTTTGCTCTTCAGTTGAGCCGTCAAATAGAGCTATGGAGCAATCCGTCAGAGAGTTGGACAACTTGCTAAGGAAATGGGAAGAAAAAATTCCGACCTCTAACCACAATCCCATACCAACGTTAAACGAGTAATTTAAATCATCATATTATTAATGATTGATCTTTTTTTTTTTAATTTGTATAAATTAATAGCTTCAGTTTCAGGTTCTCAGTTAAGATTTTTTTAATTTTAAAATTTTTATACCTATTATTGTTTTAATCAAATAAATGGTACTCTCAAATCAGGGGCCCGCAGAAAATCAGCTCAGTGTTTGCAAAATTAAATTTATGTAATACGTACATAGATAGTCACATACGTACATTATTACACACTGATTTTTTGGTTCATTAAAAAAATACCAGTGGATGCAATGGCACCCACTGGTCGTTCTATGCGAGCGCCCCTGACTCAAATACAAGTATAAATTTATTATTTATAAATTTAAATTATTCTCAAACACCTAAAGATTTTTATTGTTCAATAGGTTTACAAAACATGATTTTTGATTTAAATTTTTCTGATGTTACATTTTCTTAAGTCAATATAATACTATGAATAATTTAACTTTTTTCAGATTATGTGAATTATTTGAAACAGAATTGCACAATTATTTTATAAATAACAATGATCCCTTTTATGGTCGCCATCCATTTCGAATAGATCTGAATTGTGTATTGGCCCAGATGTATTTGAATATGTTTCGCAAAGTTTCTTTAATGAATAAGGTAGATATTGAAATGTATATATATTTTGATTTTATTAAATTAATAAATATAATTCACATTTGTTTTTACGAAATGTTTTCAGTTAGTAATGGATTATTTTCCAATACAAACTAAAAAGAACTACAATTTAAGCGAGGCAGCATGTAGGCTTATAAGGAATCTCATACCAGGGTTAGAATTGACTTTTATTATTAAAGATGTAAGTACATTTTTAATTTATTGGAAAAAGAGCATAAAAAGATTATATTTTCTAGTCGGGTCAACTTCAAAATCGTCAACTTATACAAAGGCTATTCACTTGGGCAGAAAATAATAGTGAACCATTTCAAACTTATGCAACTGGATTTTTGGCATCTTGTATGTCTTTTGTAGACATTGCTGATAATTTCATGTGTGTATACTCATATTTTAAGTATTTATTTTAATACATGGACACTTACATAAATATATTACTTAAATATAATTTTAAACTATACAGGGAAGATAATAATAAGCTTGTTCCAATTATATTGGATCGTCTACAATCATATTATACTCTGTTCTGCGAAGAAAATGAAATCAATCAAAACATACAAAAATATCAAAATACAAATTGCGATCAATCTAATTGTGATACAGTTGCTCCATCTCCAAAAAATAATAGTAACTCTTCATTCTTTCTTGAAATAAATTATTAATAAAAAACATTTTAACTAAAAATATTTGATGAATTTTAAATTATAAAATATCATTAATTGTACAGTAAAATTTAAAAATGTGTAGATGTACTAAAAATATTTGTATCTTTTAAATTTGATATGAATTCATATGTCATCAAAATATTTTTTGACTTATGCATGATCTCAGATATGTAAAATTATAATATACAAAAAAAAAAATTTCTCTATGACTGTTTAGTGAGGCATAAACTAAATCATCTTCTTAACTTAGATGAAGATTCCAACTAGAACATTAATATTCGTTTTAAAGATTTAAATAATAAACCAAGTTTAATAATAATATAACATTATATGATTTCATAAACAAAGTATGTTGTTTCATTCCCTGTTCTTTTTTAAATAATTTAAATTTATAAATAAACCAGGTAGTTCCAATAGTTGTTAAAGAATGAAACTCAAAATCTTAATATTGTTAATTTTTTAATTTTGAACAAGTTACTTGATAAAGTCACATATTTTTCAATTTGAAACTTAAAATTAATTAATTGTCTTTTAATGATCCTTAACCGATTTAAAAGCTTTCATATACTTCCAGTCTGCTCTCAATGAATAATCATATTTATGTAAACTTAAGGTTTGACACTAGAACTGTCTAGAACTTATTTATTAAAATGATTATAACATTTTGAAAGAATTAAAAATTATATTAATTTTTTGTAGATAAAAAGATTTCCTCCACCAGCTACAACTATTTTTTAAAAAAAATTAAATGTATATGTTACGGGCAAAGAGGAAAATTCGGGCAATGTATACAATGTCCGAGGTATATTGGGCAATGTAAATTGTGAAGTATTTATACAAATAATCTGCATAATATATTTTGTTAGATGATAATGATAAACTAATATGAATTTATAATCGACATCTGATTGTGCTTGCATGTCGATCAAGTCAATTTGACAGCGAGAATTCATTTCAGAAGATATGATTGGTTTTACAACCAACCCTTTTTTAGCTGTACTTCCCTTCTTTTTACACGATTCGCAATTATTTAAGTATAACGTTATTACATCTCTAGTTATATTTTTGTACTTTTTATTAATCTCGTGTTCCATTCTATTTCTACCTCCATGTCCAATTGACAAATGAACTTCATGTATAATATCATATAACTGAACATTATGCACATAATATTTTATTGCATTACCTTTAAATACATTTAAAATTTAATTAATTTAAAAAAAATTGTAATACTCTTATATAAATAACCATATAAACGAGTATAATAATTTTAGTATATAATATCATTGATTATTTAAAATAATATTATGCAGATTATTTGTATAAATACTTCACAATTTACATTGCCCAATATACCTCGGACATTGTATACAATGCCCGAATTTTCCACTTTGCCCGTAACATATACATCCCATACAAAATTTTAAAAAAAAATTCATTCCATGAATCTGTTACTTTCAAACACTGCAGTTATTTATAAACCATTTTATATTTACTCTTAAATCAAAACATATTTTAGAAAAAGAAAAAAATTTGATTTATGGTAAAAGCACTACAAACTCCTCTACTCACTCTAATGCAAGCATCTGGAAACAAATCTATTCACCTAATTTGATATCAAAATTAGTTTACTCTCTCAAATTTTTAGTATCGACTATAGGATGTCCAGAGGTATTTATTTTATATTATAATGTTTATTATGAATAATAAAATTAAAAAAATATATATTTATAGTCCTTAAAGCATGCCCATGAGAAAAATGCACTCAACTTGGTAATGAAAATAATTAATTCTTCAGAAAAACAGAATGGTTATTTAACAATTGAAGCATTGAAATATTTGGCTGCTCTTATATTCCACAAACAATTAGCCACAGAATTTATTGGTTTGCAAGGATTACAAGTATGTTTATTATATTTCATGTTAATTCAGTGGTGGCAAACTTAATTTTATTTAGGAGTTGCGATGATTTCAAAATGAACCTAACAACTCAAACAATTAAGTTAGATCATGTTATTATAATATTATATTATATATCATGTAAGATTGTTATATATGTATACAGTAGAACTTCCATATAATGGACACCGAAGGGACTGAAAATAATGACCGTTATAGACCGTTTAGAATCTAAAAATGAATAAAATAATAAAATAATTAATTACACAATTTTTTAATTGTTCACCAAATGTAGACTAAAATTCAAAATTGAAAAGTGTAAATGTATTATTACAGTTTTAAATAAAAATGACATAATTTCTGTATGTTATAAAATTGAATGTTTCTTTTTTTCTTTTTCTGCTTGACTCTAATATCACTTGACCATTTTCAGTATATTCCATGAAATTCTGGGATAGTTTGTAGTTGGGCAGAATAAAGAATGAAACAATATAGGATTTGAAACAAGGTTTTGAATTTTTTGCATACCACAACCGTAGTTGATAACTAATTCAAAACTGGAAAACTACGAACAAAACTTATACAGGCCCGGATTTTAAATTTAATGTATTATTATGATTTAACCTACTGAGTACTACTCATACTTTTGGATAGGATGGTCGAAGAGTATTGAACTTTGTTTTTGATACCAACTTAACTAATTGCTTAAAATTATATTTAACCGCAAATGCTTACATACCTACTCACTGTTAAATACTAAATACCTATTTGCTATATGTATATGGCAATCTATTGAATGTATGCTTTAGAATTATCTGACATTAAATAGTTATGGTCTTTCTTCTTCTTAAAATGTGAATGTATGTTATTTAAAAAACGTAATTATTTATTTTATGTGTAGAAATTACTTCTAATTCCAAAACTTAGTATTCCATTCACTGGTGTTTCAATTTGCTTATATTATTTGTCAAATCACGAAGAAGTAATGGAAAGGATTTGTCTTTTACCTGAAATTGTCATTGTTGATCTTGTAAAGTATGTCAAAGTATTTTTTTTTTTTTTTTTGATATTATATTATATTTAACACGATTTTATTCATCATTCATAAGGTATGCATTTTGGATATTGGAGTGTTCTCATGATTCTAGTAGACTTTTTGCAATTAAGTTCTTCAGTAAAAGTTTTCATTATAAAGTTATTCAAGAAATATTTGATAACCATGATGGATTACGTAAGCTGTTTAATATGGTATGATTAATTTACTTATTCCAAGTTAAATCAAATAAGTGAAATGTACTCCTATTAATAATTTTTATAGGTTACCTATTATACCTTGCCTATTTTTTCATCTGAACATCCAGCAAATAGTTCATTGATTGAAGATGCTGAATGTTATGTAATGAAAATCATTCGTCATGTCTGTGCTGGTTTGAAACATTACTTTGAAGCGCATTTACATATAAAAGTTTGGAAAATACAATATAGAGCGAAAATAAGAGATTCTGATCCGTTAATTTCATCAACAACGAATTTTTACACAGTACCTGGTTATAAAGTATGGCATTTTAAGAACTTAGTTCATGAAACGAAATTTTTATTTTGTATTTTTTTTAGTCTACAAAAAAATCTCGAGATAAAGTCCTAGAAGACATAGAGCTATTATCAAATGCTGTGTTTCTGCAGAACCATTTTACACCGATTGATCAATTTCTTAAATTGGGTGGCTTAAGTTTATTATTGAAAATAATTAGTTTGTCCCATGAATGGAAATATTCCGATTGGAGGAGGTAGATAAAATAATTGATTTCTTTAATTATGCATGTTAAACAATTAAATTTCATTTCAGATGTGAAATGATTAAAAATGCACTAGAAGTATTAAGCAAATGTGCGGTATTACCAAAAGTTCAATTATCGTTGTGTAAAGTGCCATCACCTAAATTTCCAGTAGATAATCAAAATGATATCTCTGCAGTGGGAGAAGATGATCCACATGATGCAAATGACAATGTCGGATTAAATATTATTTTAATAGCAGCAAAAGGAGATCTTTTAGATGCTAATATTCAAAAAGCTGCACTTTCTATCATTATAACTTGTGTTTGTGCACCAATACATAGGGTATATATTTTCATATAATTCTTAATTTCAATTTGATTTGTTATTATAAACTAAACAATAAATATTATAATTTAGGAAGTTATAAATAACACATACTATTCATCATATGGGTCAGTTAGAACACTAAAACCCCAGACTTATGACGCTGTGATTGAAAAAAGTTGGGATTGTATTCGGAATAATAATGGAATTATGGTAAGTTCAATTTAAGTAGCTACCTACTTATGATTGGTTGAGTAGTTAGAATATAATTCATGTAGGTATATGATAGAAACTTATTTGAAGTAGTAGTAATGACTTTTTTTTAAATTTTCTCTCCAAACTTTTACAGACATAGTATTATACCTTTATATATTTGAAATTGATGTATTTTGACAGTAGTAAGTTGAGCACTTGGGTACATTTTATTTTTAACACAAAAAGTTCATAATATTAAATTGTGAGGTAATATCGGGAAATGAGCTATGTATTTAAGTCAAACTCGATGTATGCACGAGTCGCAGTTGAGGTCAGCATTTTGGCTATGACTAAAATTGTCTTCCCACACCATCCAAACATATTATTTTTTGTCACGTCTCTCGATTACGTCAAAGATAATGCGGAGATCTATTCAAAAATAAACAATTTAATGAAAGATAATGTTTATGCGTCATAAAAGGATGTTATAATATGAATTTAAGATATAAACCAACGTTTTTATTTTTTGTAATGACCGTGAATAGATTTCAGTCTGGTTATGTAGCAGATACGCACTGCACTTTAATAGATTTTCATTTTACAGCTTGATACTAAAGAGATTCCCACTTAATCTTACTGGACGGAAAAAGGTGCCTTTACAACACTTCAACTATTATCAAAAACTAAACTTTTGGTGCTAGAGTGACAAAAAAATATATTAGTAAAAAAATTATTTACAAATATTGTAGTTTTAGTATCGCAGTTTTTTCATCTTAAGGAGTGTCTTTGAATGTGTCTTGTTTTAGTTTCCGGTTTCATATAAATAATCAAGGTCCATAGCAGCTTTATCTTATTTGTTTGTTGATTGGTTTTTTATTTTTTTTATATTTTGTTTTCCTGGTCCATGATAATTATAATCAGACACTAGTATTTCATTTAAAGTTTTCCAATTTAAAATACTGTTCATAATTTAATAATTCCCAACCTTTTATAGTTTTCTTTGATAAACTTTTTGCATACAATATCAAGTATTTATTAACTTGAGAAGTATCTACTATCTACCAATTTTTTGGTTATTACACAAAAATGAAAAATAAAACGTTTTTATTAAAACAATTATTTTTATATTTCTTATAAATATTGGCAATTATATTTGGAAAAGATGATGGAGGTATTATAAGTGAACAATAAGTATTCTTTTTAAATGTGAGTTTAAATAATCTTAATACTATAACAAGCTATACAACTTTTGCAATAAATGGCATTGATGATTTTCTTCAACTTGAAAATGCATGTATTGTATGTGTGGAAAATACATGCAAACAGATAGAAAAAATTTGTCCTATAAATATAACACCGAAATGAATTAATAAATTCACGGCCTATTTATTTTTTAGTTTAAAGATAATTAATTATAATACCTACTACAATTGGTCAAATTGCTAATGTATAAATTACAAGCACAACTATTAAGGGTAGATGTAGTTTGTCTGTAAATTGTAGAAGTTCATTTAATAATTGTAGATTTCAATACACATTTATATGTGGTAGACATTTTTAGTCTTTTGGTAATTTATCAAATCTAGGATTTTTATCTAGGATTTTTTCTTATAAAAATCTCTTTACAAAGGTTTATTTTATATAGTATTCACTAAAAATTCTGATAATGAAACTTGTTTAAGTATAAAATTAAAGATAATGTTGTACCTGTAGATGAAAAAAATATTCTTGAAAATGTAATAATTAAAATTTGAATTATAGAGTACTACAAAATAAATAAAATTCAATTAATTAAATAATGGATAGAATTATCAAAACGGGAGTAATATCTTTTCGATTTTAAATTATGGCTATGCCTTGAAGACATCCCTAAAGCAGGATTATTAAATTATACTGAACATTTACAAAAACTTGTTAAAATATTAACTATGCTTTGTTAAATACTATAACTTTTCAAGCAAAAAAAAAAAAAAATAGTCAAGTTAAAGATCCTTGTGAATTTGATCATTGAAAGGAATTGAGGTAAATAACTTTTGATGGGTTTAAATGAAAAATGCCTATGTGAACTTCAAAAAATGAATTTTAAACTGGAAAAAAAGGTTTTAGTTTTGATCAGATGACTAATTATAGAAAATCATTCTATACCAAAGATTCGTAAGATTCGTAAAGAACACCCTTCTACATATTTACACCAAAATAATTTAAAGAGTTTTCACCATTTTTCGTTAATATTCTTACCACCCAATATTTCTGGGTCTGTATCTAAAATAATTTTAAACTTAAAAATTGACTAAGTTATACCTGAGATTATATTTTGTTATATTTGTTTAATATCCGGTTCAGAATTTAAATGTAATATTGAAAGATACAGAGTTTGACCAATTTTATTTTATATTATTACCTATTAACATACTAATAATAATTTATTTATCTTAATTTAAATTAAATGAAGGAATACAACAATGTCTTCACAAAAATCAAGGAGTTACCTACCCTTATTTGATCGTAAATGTATATGATGTTTTGAGCGAGATAGAAACACTCAGGTTGTAGTGAATAGTGATAGTTAAGACTCGAAATGGATATACAATATAGTTGAGAATATTATCTGTGAAATATTGTTAGTATTTTTTTGGTATTATTTACTCAAAAACAGATTTTATTCTTTCAAATTTCATCATTTTTGTGTTTTTAAAACTTGGACAACAATTTTTGTAGTTTCAGTATCTGAGATGTAACCATTTAACGTAGATCAATAGTACTTAGCTTAACTTGGTGAGAGACAAAATAATATAAAAAATAAATAAAGAATTACAATTACGAAACGAGAAAAAAAAACAAAAGTAATAATTACTCATCAAATATTTAAATTCCCTACTTCGTGTCAAATTTTAATATGAGTCAAAAAAATGCTTGCGTGAGTATACTAAACGTGCTGAACAATCAATAATAAAGGATTCCCGTCACTAGGTACTGGAAATTCATTAACGGTAATAGTTCCGGAAATGTTATTCCTGAACAGTTGTACTTCAATGAATCGGTCTCCTCTGATAAGCAAGGAGCAGCTGATCTTTTTGCCTCTTAACCTCTCTTCTGTCTATTCTAATGATCATTTTGAACTTCATCTCGATGACATGTATATTCCACTGTTTGATCTGCCTAATAGTGTCTCTTTTAGTGTTGATGATGTCCTTAATATCCTATCTGCATTCCATCTTCCGTTTGCCCTGATAGTCTCTCCAGTGAGTTTTTGTTCCAGCTGTGATTTGTCATCTGTTATCCCCTATGGATTATTTTTAATAGGTCTTTAAGTGAAGGCATTTTCCTTTCTATGCTTAAATTTAGTTCTATTATTCCCATTTTTAAATCGGGTAGTTCTTCTTCAGTTTTAAATTACAGGCCTGTTTCAATTCTTTCTCATATTGCTAAAATAATTGAATCGCTGGTTTTAAAGGAAATTATTATAATAATATCCAATAATATTCTAATTTAAGAACAACACGGGTTTCGCCGGGTCTCCACTACAACATGCAATCTCCTATAAAATAACTTTGTATTTGAATCATTTCAACAGCGATAAATGTAGTTTATACCGACTTCGGTGAAGCTTTGGACTGAGGTCATCATAAAGTTTTGATAAAAATTGTTTACAGTTAGACTTTGGTGAGCCTCTCTTTTCATGCTTACCTCTTATCTTAGTGATCGATATCAATGGGTAAATATTTTTGGAACCAAATCTAATTTGTTCCTAGAATTCTCCGGCGTTCCTCAAGGTGGACATCTGTCCTCCCTTTTGTTTTCTCTTTTCATTAATAATAACAGCCGTGTTTGCGTCATTCTTGTATTCTATGCTTCGCTGTTGACATTAAGTTCTACTTGCGTTTTGGTTCTATTGATGATTATCTCACAATAGCTTTATCAATTGGTTTAAAAATATAGGTTTATCATGAAATATTTTGAAATGGAAAATTTTTACTTACACAAGTAGTTGCTCACCATTAATTCATTCCTACAATATTTCAGGTTCTGTAATCTTGCTGATAATGCTGTTAGAGATCTTGATTGAAAGTTTAATAGCACATTAGATTCACGACCACACATTGACATGATTTATTGTAAATCGTTGAAAGCTCTTGGATTTGTCAATAGACTAGCTAGGGATTTTTAATTTGATTCGTCATTTAAATTACTATATTGCACTTTAGTCCAACCTATATTAAAATATAGTGTGGTGGTTTGGTGACCATTTACTGCTAATGCCTATCTACAGTTTGAAAGAGTTCAGTCCCGGTTCCTCCATTCTGCCGGTTTTTTGTTAGGTATTGATCACCCTCCTCTCGACTATTTTGCAGTTGCTGCTAAATTAGTTCTCGACTCATTAGCAGATCGCTAGCTTGTCCTTCGCGTTAAGCTTCTAAAAGGACTCTCTGGTCAAGTAGATTCATCTAATTTACTATCCTTACTCAACTTTAAAGTCCCTCCTCGTCATAACCGTTCTACTGTTCCTTTCCATGTTCCTATATGTTCTAGCATTTATCTATATGAAAAATGTAGTCCTACATGTATGTTTAAAGAATCTTTATGAACTTCTAGACTTTTGTCCAACAAAAAATAATTTTTTATAATTAGTTAAATACAATTTATAATACTCATAATTATAATACGATTATAATTTTGTCATTTTACACCCAAAACTAATTAACTAGGTATTTATTTGTTGAATTGACTAGTTTCCTTTTATTTCAGTTTTAATTTCAATCAATTTGATATTACTTATATTCTCTGATTCAATTTCATTATATTTTAGATCAGTGGTTCTTAACCTTTTTTGGTTCAGTGCCTCATCACCAAAATAACTGAAGGCTTATTTCCAACTAATCAAAATAAAAATGGGCATACGTTTATGGTCCAGTATTTTAAATTAAAATAAAAACTCTTAACGTTTAATAATATAATGATGATACGCATCACTGGACACTAGTTTTTTTTTTACTTTTCCATTATTTTTTTCATTTGAGAGCTCATTATTCCTCCAACGCCCCTTCGACACTACCCCCGCCCTGTAGGATCTAAGTGCCCTCTAGGAGGCGGTACCCACAGACGTTCAGAAACACTGTTTTAAGCTAAATACAATATCGTTTATGTTTCTTCAAAAACCTTGTGTATAAATATTTGGATTAACTGCAACTTTTTTTGTACTATATTTACATGATGAATCAAATATGGAATCACTGATAAAATTAAACAATGTGATTCCTATGCAATTTAATAAATAATCATAATTAGGTGGTAGTAGGTACTTTATTTAGTAAATTATAAATTATTATTATGAGTTTTGTATTATGAACAATTTTATCTCAATTCAATATTGTTTCAATTTCATTTAATTTATTTTAAACTCTGAGTGGAACGATAAATGTATTGATTTTACAATGATGTGTATTTTTTATTTTTTATTTTTGTGCCTGTTTTCAAAAATTGTAAAATGTCTGTTAAAAAAAACTGTATTTATGTGTTTTTTAGATTTTTTAGATACAGAAAAAACTGCATAGTATAACTTTGATTTAAATTTTCAATCCTTAACTATAAAAATTGAAAATTGTATAAATTTTTAGCTACAAAATCATTTTCTATATTCAATTTGATAAATATTGTCAAAATTTGAACTTTAAATGCTTATAAAAAAAATCGTGCATGTGTATTTTGAATATTTTTCAATTGGTATGGTAACAATATATCAAGAGTCCTGTATTAAATTTTCATGCTTTTTGACCCGACCAATAAAATGTTATTGACATTAATATGTTAAAAAAATGAAAATTTCTATCAACAGCTTAAAACGATTTAAAATATTTTGAATATTTTATCAAGTATATGAATTGATAAAAAAAACATATGGTGTAGATTTCAAGTGTCTACGGTAATTCGTTTTTGAATTACAACAAAATAAAAAAATCGCTGCTTGAGAAATCAATTGAATATCCAATGTAAAAATTTCAACTTCAAAAGCTCATAAAAATTTATTTTGACTTTTTTTTGATAGCGATAGACAAAGACAACTGATAGGGAATCTATTATTCAATTTTTAAATCTTGGATATAAAAAGAAAAACGTTCATGTATTTCTAACTCAAAATGATTTGCACATATATAAATGTAAACGATAAATAAATGCCTTTGACATAATAAACCAATACATATACTTATTTTACAAACGTTATCTATCCATTGAGATTTCAACAGAGCAGTGCAATATTCTGTCATTAAATAATTTTTTTTAGTTTTTAATTTTTGTGTTATTGGTCGCATAATGCCTATAAAATGAAAATAATAGTCTGACTGATCAAGATCATGCCATTGATACTCCAATTTAATTTTCGAAGTATTGAAATAAATTAGAACTTCATTCGCATAAACTTTACTTGAATTGCAGCTCAAACAATAATTATGGAGAATTTAAATGCACCGAAATTATGCAATTATAATATATTACGGATAGTAACTATGCATTGAAACTAAACTTCTTTCAGACTCGGCCCAATATTTAATTTTAAACTATAAAGCTTTGTATTGCTATGTCCATTAATAAGGTATAGGGACAGATACTGAAGGTCGGATGCCTTGAAATTACAAATCCCTGTTTTATTTACTTACAATTTTATGTTGTTTGCTCCCTTGTCAGCTTGGCAAAAACAAAACATGTATGGGTATGCGCCTCACTAAAGAACAAAAAATTGTTTACAAAGAAGTATTGTAATCTTAATAAAAATATGTACAGAGATATTATATAAATTAAAGAGATATAATAAGAGATTCTAGAAAATAGTAGTTTTTACAACTTAATTTTTTTTTTATAAAAAAGTCGAATACCTCCTAGACAAAGTTAGGTATTCAGCTGGTTAAATATATTTTCTGATGATTCTATTTAATTATTATTTGTGTCATTTTGTGATTTTTGTATCTTACAAAACAATAGAATGATTTATTGTGTTAAATTATGAATAGGTTAAAACATTTGTTGTAAATTGTTTTTGAAAATCTATTTACATTTTTTTTAAAAAGTTTTTTATTAACTTTTTGTGTTCAAATATGAGTTTACCTTGGTGCCCCGCATAACTTATTCGACACAGATAATATTTTTTAAGTTTCTTACAATACCTTTTGTGTGGATTGTATACAGAAAGAAGTTTTTAAAAGTGTGGTTACACATGACGTGTAACATAGAGACAAACTTAAAATTGTTTCAGGTTTTACTTAGTTTAATGACTATTAATAAACCAATTACTGATGTTGACGCTATACGAGGATTGGCAAGTCGTGCATTAGCAGGATTGGCTCGCTGTGAATCAGTTCGTCAAATTATCAGTAAACTACCTTTATTTAACAGTGGTCAATTACAAAGTTAGTAATTAATTATTTTAATAATTTTGATTGTGAATGTATCTTTAAAATTGTGTTTTCAATTAGAAAATGCAGTACGTTATATACCTAGTATTTTTATGAATTATTTAGTTGAATAATACATATTTACGTAACGTTATAGGTTTAATGAAAAATCCTGTATTGCAAGAAAAACGTCAAGAACATGTAACATTTCAAAAATATGTTTTAGAGTTAATGGAATTGATTTCAGGGAAAATAAAAAATAATGGTGCTGAAAATGAAGTATCAATGGCAAATATAAATCGAGTACGTTCGTTTTTAATTTGTAAAAATTCTTACCGGAACTTTTTTAACTTAATTTTGCTCAAACTATTCAAATTGTTCTAGTCTGATGTTTGAATAGTTTAAAACCTCATCCTTATTAAAAAAACGTGTAGGTATACAGTAGTTCCATGGAATTTATTAGAAAAATAGTATTAACAAATATAGAGATTCCTTAGGCTCAACCGGTTTAAAATTATCTCACACCAGGATCAAATTGTACACGCATCGCATATTGTACGTTTTTTACATATATATCTTATTGCTGGGGACATTCTATAAATTTGTGTGATACGGAGAGCGTTCTCATAACGTCATAAACTCGACCCTGCTCATCACCCGGCACGGACCACCACTTCATAACGTCGTTGAAAATTACTTTGAAAGCTGTGGTGGTGAGGTGCTATGTTTTTTCGATCATTTTATCGGTGTACTAGATTTGTGTGACTACATTTTATATTCTTTTTCAATTGAATAATATACTATAGGTAGATGGTATGTACTTTACATGCAATAAAATTATAGTTTGTATTAATTATAGTATTCAAAACATGGAGTTTATAATACTAGTCAAATTAACAAAAAAATAAAGCAAAAACAAATATTTATGAAATTTTTTGTCAATAAATTAATTATTAAGATAACTAATCATACAGATTTAAATTGTACCAACTTCAAATCTATTAAAAACCAATTTTAAAAATAATTAAAAGGCCATAATTTAAGTTACATTAAACTAAAATCCAAATAAATGTAGGTATTTATGCTTATGGAACTTTATTTTTGTCAAAATATCTGAACACGATGTATACAACTATACAAGTATATAACATTTATAATTAAAACGCTGAACAGAATTTTCTCATTAACTACTGATATTTTATGCCCACGTACACTTTATTTTTACCTACACTTCGATATTTATTTATATTCATACAATCATATAACGGATTACAAGTAGGTGTTACGACGCCGAGTGTCCTTCGTCATTGAATAGATCCCTACTGTAATGTTTAATGTGTTAAATTTTAATTCAACAATAAATCATTGTATATGAAAAACGATTCTTATCGGAAACGATCTATCTGATATTAATTACTAGTTTTATTTTATCATAATAATTTAGTCAAAGTTCCAACTTCAAACCCCCATAACAATTATTATATTATTTTTTTACCGACAATATCAGCCTGTGGAAATTATAGGTACCTATTTGTAAATTTAGATCATAATTTCTCATAATTATATAAATAGCTTACTGTCGTGGTAAATTAGTCAGTAGCCATAAGACATAATGTAACTACATGTCCGATTTATCTTCATGCTCTGAAGATACTCTTTGGTTTTTTTTTTTAAACACCGGTTTGAGTGAACAAATTTCTATATTATATCAAAAAAGTAAAGATATATATTTGACTAGGCTTTGTTTTATGTTAAATTATTGTGAATAACAAAGACTTAATAATAATATGGTAAATGAAAGAATTAAATAATAAATAGTTCAATTTACGAAGAAATTCGATATAATTTATACAGCCAATACTTTCTTTGGTATCTTTGTTTTTAATTTCTATATTACTTTCTTAAGTAAGGTTATCATATAATCAGCTCTGTATATAAAAGCTCTTTTTTCACAGACGTAGGGTCATCCCAGTTTAGTGCCATTTGCTGACTAAATATATATAATAATTATTATTTTCAATGATTTTCTGTATAAATAATTTTATTTGTAGACAAACGTTGCTGCTCAAACTAAAATTAATTTCGATGATCAACAATTGCTATTTTTAATACATCAACATTTAATCGCAAAAGGTTTGTCCACAACTGCAGAATCATTAAAACAAGAGGCAAATTTTAAATTGGCTGTGAAAAAGTCTACACCATTTACATGTATTTTGAATCGCAGTGTAAGTATTAAATAATAACCCCAAATCCTTTTGGAAATTTGTTTGAAACCTTTAGGTTAGAAAATAGTATTCCCAACGTAGTCCACTTGGATGAATTTTCAAGTTCTATTCCACAGGAGATTTCCAACCTGTTTTCTAATTTTTTCATCTCAGTTTATACAACTTCCACCATAAACAATGACACTAATCTTCCCCACTTGTGTTTCGAATCACCCCGTATTTGCCTCTTAAATATTTCTGATGTGGAGCCTAATTTACTAAAATTAAAAAATGTGTATTTTGTAGGGCCTTGATGGGCTTCTAGGCTATTTTCTTTTTAATATTAGATCTTTTCTTTGTTTTCCACTGTGGCTTGTCTTCAGGTGCTGTTTAGATAAAATAAATTTCCATCCATCTGGAAGCTAAGCTCCATCACTTCCATTTTCAAATAAGATGATAAATCCCATGTCAGAAACTACTAGTGTATCTCTATCTTATGCCATATAGCTAAGTTTTTCGAAAAGCTCGTACCCATGGAAATTCCACTTACCATTAATCATACCCGTATTAATGAGCAATACGGTTTCAGGCTAGGGCGGTCAGCTGCGATGAATTTGTTGGTCCTCAACAATTTCACTCTCGATGCTTTTGAAAGTAAATGTGACAGGTAGGTGTTATTTTTAACGACTTCGAAAAGGCGTTCGATAGAGTCGAACACAATATTTTAATTCAAGTTTTCAGTAATTCATGGTTTGGTAATCCGCTATTGTCTTGGTTCGTATTATGCTTGTCTAGATGGAACCAATGGGAGAACATCAGTGGACATAAATATGAAGTCTCTTTTATTCCTTCAGGTGTTCCTCAAGGGGGCCACCTGTTACCTCTTCTACTCACCTTGTTCATTGACGGTGCCAAGGAAATGCTCCTTAATAGCAATATTCTAGCTTTTCCGGATAACCTTAAATTTTCCTTCGAATTGGCAACGAATACTACTGTCTCCTGTTGCAAGATGAATTTAATATTCAAATTAATTCTGTTGAATCCATTGGTCTTAACTTGAACGAGAATAAATGCCAATCCATGTCCTTCATCAGTTCACGTTATTTCACTTGCCACACCTACTCGATTAACAATATCAATCTAACATCCAAAAGTAGAAAAAAATTTGGGGGTTCTATTTCTCTCAGACCTCTATTTTCAGGATCATATACTGTCAATAAGTTGTAAGGCGTGTAAGACATTAGGATTCGTAAAAAAAATATTGCCAGACTTTAAGCTCACCTCTCCACTGAAGCCACTCTATTGCTCACTAGTGCCACTCCGGTTTGAATATGGTTCAGTTCTCTGGGATCCTTACACAGCCTCCGACTCTGTAATCATTGAGCTAGTCCAATGGTGCTTTCTATCTTATGCCTGTAACGCGTTTAAATATTCCCCATCCGATACATGATTACTCACCAGTTCTATATAAACTCGGTATTTCAATGCCAGTCGACAGAAGAGTTGACAGTAACTTGAACTTTCTCAAAAACCTCATTGATGTCACTGCTGACGCTCCTCCATTTCTTTGTCTTATCAACTTTTGAGTCCCTCCAAGTCTAACTCGCTCTACCACCATTTTTGTGGTACCAATAGGTGCCACCAACTACAGTTCAAACAATTCGATTAACAGTATGATGCACCTTGCTAATGTTCACTCATTGTTTTCACTCAAATTTAGACACTTGGTTCCGTTTAAATTACGTTGATTTGCTACTTGTATGTAAGATTTAACTTTTATTTACTGCACTTCGAGCTACGCCCAGGGCTTGGAACCTTTATGATTTTTTCAGTTTCGGTTCCAATTCGGTTCTTCAAAAAAATAAAAATTCGGTACCGGTTTCGGTTCCGGTTCTTAAAATTACAGAATTAAGATTTCGGTTCTGGTACCGGTAAATACCGGTATTTAGAGGTATATTTTTTTTCAAAAAGAAAAAAAAAACCAATTATAAACTTCATTCATATACCTATAGGCGCAAATCGGGGGGATAAGGTCCCCAAACTTAGTCGTAGCCCCCCCCCCCCAAAAAACCTATGATATACAATTTTAAAATTCTATATTGCAATGGTCTGCTTGCCTTTAATATATTCAGTCCCACAAGTCAAAAGTTGAAATTGCGCCTATGTATATACCTATATAATTATCGAGATTTCGAGATAGAAGCAGTCTGTGCTCAACATTACACTATTACCACATTAATTGATTGGTTATTACTTGTTTTTGTATGATGGGTATCATAGGTCAGCGGTTCCCAAACTTTTACGACCACGGCACCCTTAAAAAATTGTTTGCGTTTCGCGGAACCCTAATGTCTAATCCAACTCAACTACAATTTTTGTAAATTAAAAAAGGAAAATCAATTCCTTAAACTCTCAAGTCCAAATAATATTTTAATGATACTGTTAATGACTTTTCATTATTAAACTTAGTTTAAAAAAAATTTTCAACCAAACATTTTTTANTCGTAAATATTGAAACGTTCAAAAGTATAAAATTAAAAATATGTCATGTTACTTAGTAACTTGAGAGAGCAACTAATAATAGCAAAATCGAAAACATCTATCCCTGCTGCCCGTATGACGATGGTCGTCTTTATTAGCCGATACTCATTTCATAGAATTATGTATAAAATGTAAACAAATAATAATTATCAATAGGTACTCATTGTGTTGAGCCGATGAAAATAAAACAACATTCATGGACACACCACACACAAGCATAATATATTTATATATATTATATACTTATATATTTTATATTTATAATATCTACATAGTGATCATTACTCATTTGTCTTTAGTTTTAGTTATTAATATTATTCCCAGTATTCAGAACTCGCCGTTCTCAGTTATCACTTAACAACAAACTCAGTGACTTACTATCTTAATTCTTCGAATTAAAACTGTTGAAGAACTACGATTTTCTTGTTATTTTTATTTCGTTTATTTGTTTATTTCAATTATAAAACGGTTTGTACAAGTTCTAAATGCTGCCCCATCGAAAATCCAAAAAACAGACAATGATTCAAGTACGCAATCAACCGAAGAATCAACTAACCATCTAATAAATACTTCGAAATTGAAGTAAAACTATAAATTATGCAAATCTAATAAAAATATCTTTCCTAAGTTCAAACAAAAAAGACATACACTTTAAATCAATACCCTATTATTAAAGAGGTATTCCTAAAATATGATACTACTATTCCATCCTCAGTTTTGACACCCAGATGTAATAGGTCAAACAATAGAACCTTGGATATGATTTTATGTTGTAGATCAAATATGGCTTAAATCACTATTTTTTTTTTCAAATGTAATCTTATTTCTGTAATTATTTATCAAGTCAGAGAATGCCTCTTCATATATTTTTATGGAGTTTATTTAAAAAATAAACTGGGTGCACTGTTTTTTAAAATTTTAAAATTATGTAATTCTCTTTTTAATACCTGTACCACTGAATATTTGCAAGTTTAAACATGAAATTATCTGATATTTATCTAGACAAATATTTATTCATTTTTATCTTTATCTAGATAAAATTTAGTTATCTTTATCTTTATCTAGATAAAATTTAGTACTGTTATCTTTATCTTTATCTTTATCTAGATAAATTATTAGCTATCTATTCTCAACACTGGACTTATTGCCAACCAGGTATTGCGCAACATCCGTGCGTAGTTTTTGAATTGTATGTCCCTATTCGTGCCCTTTTTTCATGCTCAATTATTATTTATTAATAACTCGCCCTTATCGGCCGTCGCCGTCGCCTCCGACTTCGAGCCTCATCACTTTTCATGTTGTGCGTCGCCTCAACACATTTCCTACTACACCCGCGACTTACCCTCGAAAAATCACTCGGTAATCCTTGATTGGTTTTTAGCGTTAATAATAAAACTTAAAGTAAATTACTCTTAAAAGTGTCTTTACTTATTTTATATGGTCATAATTACGAAACGATAAAAAACAATATTTTTAACCTACCTTTAGCAATATAATATTTAATGTTTCTATTGACAGTCCTAAGTCTGTATTAAATGGGAAGGAAAATAATGTATTTACTATTTACATCGGACGTAATTAGTATAGTTGTTAAATATTATTGGGTCGCAATTCGTATGAAAAGGGGATCTTGGGACGCAATTCGTTTGCTGAGCCGAAAATACATCAATAAACCAACAATTGTCACAAAAATAATTTTACGGTATTTATTTAAAATCAAATATTTGATAATAATCTTTTATTTAAGAATAAAAAGTATAAATAGTAAAATAATATAAATAATATAATAATAATTGCAGAAAAATTAAATGCAGAACATTTTGTCCAATGAGCCGGGTTCGAACTTGTGACTGCGCGCGTCAATGCCAACTTTGTGACCTTTGCACCTCACTTCCAGAGTACCAGTGACTAGTTTGGAGTGTTTGGACAACACTTACTGAAAAGCGCCGCCGCCGTCTCATTTTATCTGGAAACGACTGTACCGACATAACGTTTTAACGTGGACCTCTACATTACAGATTTCGTAGAAGTATTTATTTCATGTGACTTATTTTTCTCAAATAAACCATATCCGGGTTATTCCCTGCATCAATTGTTATTTTTAAATTTGATAGGTACTAAATAACATTTATAACCAATAGTATTAATTCTGAAAAAGACTGTTAGTAAGACTCAAAACGTTTCTGAGATCAACTATGTCGGAGACCACATTAACTTGCTCTTTTGAATATCCACCGTGATATTGGTGTAGACATCATTTAAGTTATTGACATGTTTTCAAAAACAAAAACAAAATAAAATTTTGCTCTATAATTTCATATTTCATATTTTTTTATTTATCTTAAATAAAGAGAATTCTTTTCAATGTACATACCTAATTTTTTTTAAATGTATAGCTGAAAGTTTATTCTTTTACAGTGTTAAGAAATATTTTTGGTAATACTTATATTATTATAGAACTATTGAATTGTATATAGGTAGGTATTATATTCAGGGCTTGGAACCTTTATGATTTTTTCGGTTTCGGTTCCAATTCGGTTCTTCAAAAAATAAAAATTCGGTACCGGTTTCGGTTCCGGTTCTTAAAATTACAGAATTAAGGCTTCGGTTCTGGTACCGGTAAATACCGGTATTCAGAGGTATATTTTTTTTCAAAAAGCAAAAAAAAACCAATTATAAACTTCATTCATATACCCATAGGCGGAAATCGGGGGGATAAGGTCCCCAAACTTAGTCGCAGCCCCCCTCCCCCAAAAAAAACGTACGATATACAATTTTAAAATTCTATATTGCAATGGTCTGCTTGCCTTTAATATATTCAGTCCCCCAAGTCAAAAGTTGAAATTGCGCCTATGCATATACCTATATAATTATCGAGATTTCGAGATAGAAGCAGTCTGTGCTCAACATTACACTATTACCACATTAATTGATTGGTTGTTACTTGTTTTTGTATGATAGGTATCATAGGTAGTAGGTACTATGATATGCTATTTTTAGTGGTGGACACTGCCAAATAACGACTATCGAATTTATTATTGTAAGAAACTATTCAGAAATTATATTTAATATGTATATGTATACCATTATATAATATTAATTATTAGTCCTTGTCACAATCTGATAACAATTTATACGGGTGTGTATTTTGATCGCGTTAATAATCATTTTATTTGACATCATTCATCAACTTACATTACAAGACATAGTATCCAAAACTATTTATAAATTATAAAATATAAGGAAATAATCATAACGACATGCTTTACAAACCAACTGGCAAATAACAATATTTATTATATTTATTTTGGTAAATGCTCATAGTTTATTGTTTCCTGGAACTGTTAGATTATAGAAATGTACAATTATAATTACCCGTATTCATTTACAACCAAATTTTAAGAATCAACTATTATTTAATAATATGTATTACCTGCCTAAATATATTAAATAATTAAATAAAACTAGAACCGAAAAAAACTGAAATTAACCAAAAAATTCTCTTCAGATAAATATCGGTTCCGGTTCCTAGGAAAATCAAAAAAGGGTTTTTGTAAGGTTCCGGTTCCAATATTTTCAATAGGTTCTGGTTAAAATACCGGCATTTTTAATTTCGGTTCCAAGCCCTGGGCCTACGCCCGTATATAATAAAATATATAAAAAAATATTGTTTAAGAGGTTTGTGTGTCCACATGTGTTGTCTCCATTACGTTCAATAAAAAATTTCCATTAAGCAGATTCTAGCTTGCGTACTTAGTTAGTTTTAGTATTAAAGTAAATAGTCCTAATACCTAATTATTTAAAGGTAAGAATGTTATCTGTGGTCTCGTCGTTGTTTTTATACATATTAATTTTAAAGCGAATTATTATTAAATAAAATATTAAAATTTAAAAATGTTCATAAACTGCTTCAAAATTAAAATAACAAAAAACTTGGATTTTCTTATCATTAAACATGATAATTGGGCTATTTAGAGTAATATTAATATTAACAACACTAATATGTCAGGTGAAGGCAAATTTCTTATGTTATACGTTTGTAAAATGGAGACGATACCTTCTGACATTACGACTCCTTAATAAATTATTTTAATTATGATACTTATTTTCATTGGTTAGTTACGTAAATACTAATAAATATTTTTGTATTTCAGAATCAGTCGATTGAAAGAGGAATATCTACAATAAGCTCTAGACCCGCGATTCGAAACCAAACATTTGAATTAGCCTATTCACCAAATTGTCGTGTAGGTGCTGAATTTAGTGCCAGAGAAATTAATTCAACTCCAATACGTTTGAATGTCGATAGGTATTATGAATTTTTTAATATTTGGTTTCTTAAGCAAGTGTATTAATTATATTTTATTTATCTAGACTATCAGAAAGTTGTCCAAAACCGGAGCCAGAACAAGAACTTGAATTAGCTCTGTCTAATTCAGTTCATAAAAAAATTGACCAAGATTTAATAGCACTCACTGATAACAATACTAACTCTAAGATTAGTTTAGAATCTATCGTTACAGAATACTTAACTAATCAACATGCTTCGTGTACATATCCTATGGTTCCATGTCCTCAATTCGACTTATTTGTGTAAGTATTTAAATATTTAACCGTGAAAAAATATATACTTGATCATATTTGCATGCAGCCCACACAAATGTCCTGATCCTAAACTAAGGAGCTCAATGTGTACAAACTTTGCTATGCGATTTTCCAAAAACATACATTCTAGAAAACTAAACCAAAGACTTATACACAGTCGTTTTTGTCCAACCCGAAATTTCCACATGTATGATGAAAATGAACATTTCACGTGTTGCGATTTTTTAGTAAGTCTCTTAAAATAATATTATATATATTTACTGCTATAACAATTAATTTTTTAATTTTAGAACCAAAATCGTGTTGTTACTGGAACAGACAATGGTAGAATAATAGTATTCAATTTATTTACTTCTCAAGTAGAACTATCATTTGAAGCCCACGCTTCATATATTATCGACTTACAATGCAGTAGGGATGAAAGGATTTTGTTATCATCTCAATCTTGCCAAAGGCCTTTTACGTCTGTTTGGTCTATAACTGGAGATGCACTCAATTTTAAGTAAGTTTAAATTTAAGTTTAGCTCGTTTTTTAAAAATATTTTATGTACTAAAATATTATTTTTTTATTTAGATATTCTTTGGACTACGAAGAATACTGCACTTTTAGCAATTATAACCAAAATAAAATACTTGGAACTAAAGCCGAAATAGCAACAGTAATTATTGAAGTTCTGCTACCTATTGTAATTATTTTAATAAGCTTTAAACTGTAACATTTTTTCCCAGATATATGATTTAGAAACTAGTAAAAGAATATTGACATTAGTACCAAGACATTCAAATCAGTACAGTAGAAATCAAGCGGCATTTGATGCTACAAATGAATTAGTGTTATCAGATGGTGTATTATGGGATGCCATTGGTGGAAAAGAAATTCACAAGTTTGATAAATTAAATCAATTTGCTAGTGGAATTTTCCATCCAAATGGACTTGAGGTAAGATATATTTTTTATAAATTTATTTGGATTGATATTGTAATCCCAAAACTATTTTTTACCTATAATTTTGTAGATTATATCAAATACAGAAGTATGGGATATGCGCACATTCCAATTGTTGCGAACAGTGGCAAGTCTTAATAAATGTTATGTGACATTCTCCAAATCAGGAGAAGGGATGTATTTGTATGTCAATGATCAAACAGTTGAAAGTGATTTTTGTTTTGAAACTTCATTTAAAACTTTAGATCCTAATGACTACTCAAATATAGGTAGAGATAATCTACATATTATTAAATATATTGTTTTTATAAAACATTTTAAAATATCATGATTATTTGTTTTTACAAATTGTTTTATGTCTTTAGCCATTGTTGACGTTCAAAAATCGATATATCATTTGGCTTGCAATAGTTCCGATACTCAAATAGCTATTGTTGAAAATCAAGAAACGCTTGAAAATATTGAAGAGTCAATCGTACAAATATATAATGTTGGTAGATCTAGAAATGAAGATGAAGATGTAAATTTCTGCTGTGATAATTTTGATAAACTAAAATTAATCACATTTGTAATTTTAGGTTGAAAAAGAAGTTTATGAGGGAGTTGATTCTGATGATGCAAATTAACGAAAATTCAAACCCAGAAGACAATATATCGCTTTTATAGCCAATAATATTGTAACTGTTTGTAAAAATAAAATTAAAAAGAATACAGATTGTTTCTTTAAAAATTTCAGTGAAAAAAATAAAATCTCAGTTAACTGGTTTTTAGCTATGCATGTTTTATTCTTCTTATATTTCTATAATCTATGATGTTCAAAAAAAAAAAAAAATTGGAACGTTTTGTTAGCCCCTCCATACTTAAAAACAAAAAATATATTATTATGTGGTTAATTGTGCTCAGAGGAGGCTAATAATATTATAAGTAATATTATTTGTAGGATTATCATTTAAAATTACATACAGGACACCATGAGGAGACTGTCCTTCAAAAATAATTTTTTTGTTTGTTAAAAATTAAATAATTTATTGAAATTGGAAAAATTTAATTTAAAAATATAGATGTATACTATAGGTATATATATATTTGGTTGTCAGTGAAAAATAAATTGTTTACACCAATAAATGTAGAACAGTGTTTAAAATAGGTATCGATAAATTGAAGGTAACTTATAGATACTATGGTTGTAATTTAATTGAAAACTCCTACGCTCAATTATTTACTATACTATTTTTACTACCTACCTGTTCACTGTGGGTGCAATTACAATTACCCATTTTTATAAACTTAAAACTTAACATTAACAATGTTAAATTTTAGAATGCAAGTATAATATGAAAAGCGGGTAAGTGAGAATATAAACATTCAATGAAATGAAAAATGGTTCTGAGAGAATACCGTTTGTCGGTCTAGATATTTTATATTATATTTTTATTGTTATTACTAATTATTAATACGGATAAAATTACAAAAAAATTATTCTTGGTTATTTAATATGTAATTTCGTTCATATTTTATCTTAAAATAACTATACAAAAACTGTGTTTATATCTTTTCTAGATTTATTGTTACAGAATAACCTACTTATTTGTTGGTTGAACCTTGTTGAATTTAATTATATATTCTTATTATTTTGATAAAATATTATGAATAATAATAATACTAATGGCCTTTACTCTTTATATGTATCACACAGGGTTATTGCAGTTATTCAAATAATATAAGCATATTAATTTTTTTTTATTATTTATGCACCTCAACGTTTACGGTTATTAGCATTTTCAACAAAATATACATTATATTTAATGTTTCTAAACATATCAATGTTTTTAATTATATACACTAAATTTTTTTTAAATTTGTATATAAGATTTTATGTAATGATAATGAAATTTCTTTATAGTGGCTCATTTTCAAACTAGACAAAGTTTCAGTCGCTAATTCAGAGATTCATTGTAAGCCAAAAAGTATGTGTTAATAATTCAATTTTTAGGGAATTGTAATGTATCTTCAATAGTAAATAAAATTTCTTTAATTAAAACTTGATTTTTCTCAAATAAAATTCATATCTCTATGGACTAACTAGATTTGAATGAAATCAATGTCACACAGATATACTTTTGTTTTGGACTTAAGTATTTCAATTATTTCTTTACTATTATTATATTCTTTATTATAAGTGGAAATTTAAAAAAAATGTAAATGGGTATACATATTATTTTTATTATTTGTAAAAATTGAATTTTATAATAAAATAAAGCAGTATAAGGAAAAGCTTAATATAAAAGTTTTGATACATATTTAATTCAATAATACTTTAAACCAGCGTGCACGGGCCGGGAACCCCAGTAATTGTGAATGGTCGCATACGTATAACTCTCTCCTTGGGTAGTGGATCTATTAGTGGATATTGAAATGACGGTTTGGATCGAATACATGTGACACATTGTTTGACAACGGATCTTGCAATCATTCGTCCCCGAAGGGGCCAGTAGCAGCGCCTTTTATCGGCTAAGAATTCTTGAGGCCCAATATGTAATAGATTCTCATGTTGATCTTTAAAAATAAGTTGTGTAATTGCATGATCTGCGGGTAGCACGATTGGCCTTTTTTGCTCTTCTGAAATATCGGCATTGGTTAAAATAAATGCACAAACATAAAAATGTGTTAGTGATTTAAGTGGTTCTACATCACTAGGAAAATAACAAGCCTTAAATATGATTCTATTAATATGAAATAATTCTATACTAGATGATATTTTATTTCACTGGAACATACCAACCAATGAAGAATAGCAATTCAAATTGTAAATATGACAGATATTCTTCAGGTTCAACAGGTATATATTCAGGCAAAAGGCCTTCATAATTATAGGCATCTAAGTATGGATGCAAACATACCTCAGACATCAAAATATTACTACATTTTGGTTCTTCTATTATATGGTTGTACAGTTGAATCAAGGGAGAAGAACCAGGTCTGTAGTATTTTTTTTATATGTTGTAAATAGTTTTCATAGGGGAATGACGAACAATATTGTCAACTACACCATATTTATTAGCATCATTTGGCAAATGAATAAATGCATGTACAAAATATAGTAGATTTCATTTACTCGTTTTGACTGTAAACTATTCTTGCACAACTTAATATTCTCATTACAATATCAAACATTATAAAAGTTTCATAAGCTGGTAAACTCATTATATGTGTAAATAAAAATGGTCCTGAATATAACATAATTTTCATCATTATGAAGCTTTAAATGTATATTTTTTTTATTGTAACCAATTTTTAGCACATGATTTGATTGACCGAATTTTTTCAAGTCGATTTGACTCATAATACTTGGCTCTAAGTTCAAAATTGAATGAATGACACAATGAAGCCCATTATTCAATTTAAAAAAAGAAATGTTTAATTTAACTGTATAATTATTTCATTTTATTTTTATTTTTTTCATTAAATGTTATAATTATTATTTATATGATTATTATTTATTATTAATTATTATTATCATTATAATTAATAGCAGGAGTAGTATTAATGAATATTGTTATCATTTTCATTAACTTAGTACAATAAACACAAACAATAAAATGTACATAGTAATTAAATACTTAATATTATAATATTTTAATTCATAATTTGATGTCTAAAAATTGATCATAAAAATTAAAAACATACTTGTTCTAAAGGAAGTGAAGATTTTCGCATAGAAATTATAACATTTAATGAAAAAAAATAAAATTACATACATGAACCTAAAATTTATAAATTAAACATTTTTTCTTTTCAAAATTGAATTGGCCGTCATTCATTCAATCCAAATTATGTGCTAATAAGAGGTGTTACCATTAAAAAATATACATTTTGTGCTGCAGATGCTTGCATAGTAAGTGTTAAACATTTGTAAATTTCACAAAATATGTATTTCGGTACCTCTTATATTCCCCCCTCAATGCATTTAAATACAAGTTCATTCGGCCGAAATATTTAGTGTTATCTTAAATCGTAATCATACTGCATATAATAAAGAAAAAAAATAGCAATTAATATGCTTATACTAGACATATAGAGACTATAGTTCTCCAATCATCAACATTTTCCTCTTCATCAACTGCTTCAAAAGCTGAGAGAATGATTTTATAGGGCGGAGGAACCATCCTAGCAGGTCACTTCTCTAGCAGGAACACAACTCAGCAATAAAACAACCATTTGTATAATTGTATGTATAGTCAGTAAGCACAATGTAACTGGGTTAAATATAATATCAATATTATCGATAGGACTACTAACAAAAATTAATATATAAAGTACACAAAAAGACCTAAACACGATGGATATCGTAGCAATCGGAAATACACGACAATAGTTAAGCCATAAAATAGTTTTAATAATTTTAAACTTGGATTTATAAAAATAAACAATTTAAAAAAAAAAGAAACTATGTGTTTCATATATTTTTTATAAATACATCTAATGCATATTAATAGTTAAATCAAAATTAAATTTAATTATCAGTATACACTATACATTACTTATCAATGGTGAATCAACATTAAAAATAAAGAAATTGAATAATATTACAACATCAAGTCGGTGTTGGAAAATATTTCATTTACTTTTGATAAATGTGAATTCTTACAATTAATTTATATTAATAAATAATATTACTAAAATGTTTAATTTTTATTTTCAACACATTTATACAATGACTATCAACTTAAAAAAATTCATGGTTAATGGATATAAAATATTAAACTTCAAAGTATGGTCAATATTTAATAAATATTGAAATTTCCTGTGGGTTGCAGTTATGTGATGTATAAATAATGAGTTATATTTCAAAAAAAAAATTACTATAATTTATTTCCAAATGTCAGCATACACTTTTTTATTCCTTGCTGGCATAGATGATAGTCTTTGAAAGGTGGCGCCATGTGCTTATGCAATAATGATACAATTTGTATGAACTTAATGATAATTAAAAATTAATTTATGAATTAATTATTAAGATATATGCCAAATAATTATTAGATATATTAAAATTTCAGTACAACAACAAATATTAATATAAATGATACAACAACAAATGATAATGTGAATGATACAGCAATGAATGTTAATAGTTAATTCTTTTATAGATTTCTAAAGTGAAGAATGTAGTGAGTTATTTGAAGAAGATAATACTACAGAAAAATCTAACAAAGGCCAAAATTTTAATGAATTTCAAAAACCAAATAAAAAATTTAAATCCAAGTAGAACAAAAATAATTTAAGATACTGGTTAGCATCATTAAATTAAGAACCTAAACGAAACATAGAATATTTAGATGGTATGATTTAGGTAGCTTTACATGAGTTAATAACTGAAATATATTTCCATGTACTTTCATTCTATATAAGGTTGTAAATAAAATGTCATCACTTTGAAGGATGACATAAAATCAAGGATTTGTCTGTTGATGTGGATACTTAACAATTTTAAATATTTTCAATGGATTTTTTTATGCCATCTAATTTCTAAAGTACACAATATAAACATTTAACAGCAATATAAAATAAAATAGTTCATTACTTATAATATCAACTTAACATTAAATGAGAATACTTATAAATTAATATACCTTAAACATAAATATAATCAGTCAATATTTTGTATACTTAATATACTAGGTATTTACAAAATTTCACATGAGCTTAATAATTATATATATAATTAACACTAATATCTTAATAATAATAGAAATTACTAGTACTAATAATATTACTCACAATTAAAAATTAAATGCAATGGTTAAGGGATGTTGCTGAGTTCACTTGTGTTGTCTCCGTCTTACATATCTATGATGTAGCAGATTTTTGTTCACTAGTTATAATAGTGTACTATTAATTTTGATATTAAAGTGAATTGATCTATAATTTAACTTTTAGATAAGAATATTATTCATGTCCTCTTTTTGGTTTCTTCTGGTATTTTAAATTTTAAGTGATTATGACCATTTTAAAATATTAATACTTTACACACTCATAAGTAAGAATTTAAATATTGTAATAAACTGGAGGGTTTTTAAGATAAGAGGCTTAAGTCAATTTTGTACATTTTCAGTTTATGCATTGATTTTGTGTGAAATTTCAAGCCGCGTTGAATGGTACCACTGTAGATATCATGTGGGATTTGGTTTACGAGATAAAATAGAATGCGTATGGTGTTAAGTCGTTGTACAGATTTTTTTTATGATAAAGGACCTAAGTCACTAATTTTGTATTACAAACGTTGTTAAGTGTTTTCCATTAAGTGAATTATGATTAATAGGCCTATTTTGTATTTATTATACAAAATAGCAATAATTACAATATACAAAATGTCCAAAAGAAGTCGTGCTCTTTTGTTGATGGCAACTGGTAAGTACCAAATTTTAACAATATATAAACACTTATAGGTTAGTTAATAATTTATTGATGGTTACTTATAGAGTTGCCTGAAAAATAAAAACACGTAATTCAATACTCATTCTATTGTTTTGTTCAATAGATTTAATATTGTTATATTCTTACATGCATACCTAGTTCTAATATTCATAGTTAATGACAAAATTAAAACCACTAAAATGCATAACAATGAACCAAAAAGACAAACTATTAGAAGAAGTTTGTTTAACACAATTGATGTTGATGAACGTATTCAGGAAAGAACAAAAAAATTTAAGTATAAACAATAATACTATAAAGAGCTTATCCCAGCTCTTATTTATATATGTTCTGAACCATTATCTGACTGCAGAGCGAAATGTAGCACCAAAATAGATGACAACTTAAGAGAAGAATTATTTAGAATAAATTGGTCCATGAATAGTTATGAGAGAAGAGTGGCATATATTTCAGGCTATATTACATGTACTGAAAAAAAAACTACTAGAAAAAGAACTGAAACTCCAGAAAAGCAAAGAACTAGAAACAATACACGTCATTATTTTATGCCTAAAAATAATAGTTTGGAACTGGTTTGCCAGGGTTATTTTCTTAAAATATTTGGGGAAACATCAACATTTTTAAAAAATATATGCAAATAAAAATTAAGTTCTCCAGAAAATAAGACTACACCAGATAGAAGGGGACGTAGAGAACCTAAAAATAAAAAAAGTGTTGAGAATAAAGGATTAGTAAAAAATCATATTAAGAAGCTGGAAGCTATGAAAGCCATTACTGTTGGAAGGAAACAGCTAAGAAATATTTACCTCCTTACTTGACACTCCAATGCGCATATGAAGATTATGTAAAATCTGTTGAAAAACAGTAAATAGATCAGTCTATGAGAAGACTTAAAGAATCTGGTTTAAAGATAAAAAACACTAAAAAGATACGTGTGCTCTGTGTGAATGAATTAAAATGCAACTTTCAAATCGTTTGAATGAAGAAAACAAAACGAAAATTCTAACCGAAAAAAATGAACATCAAAATAGTGCAGAAGAGGCTTATAATTCAAAAAGAATGGATGCATCAACAGTTTCAACAAATACATGTGTGTTAGCCTTTGATCTCCAGCAATGTCTCCCAACACCATCTTTAAAGTCATCGGTTGTATTTTAAAAGTGACAACTCTGGACTCACAATTTGACAATGCATAATATTATTTCTTCCAATGCATCCAGTTACATTTGGAGTGACCCTATAGCTAAAAGAGAGAGATGACATAGGTTCCTGTATATTTGATTACTTAGGTAAGCTTTCAGATGAAATAAACCATGTAATTATGAATAGTGATTGTTGTGGAGGTCAGAACAAAAACAGCGTTATTATGGTAATGTGTCTTTGGTTTTTAGAGAAACATGACTCTATTGCAGAAATCGACCATAAATTCATGGTCCCTGGTCAAAATAGAATGGAGTGAAATTCAGATCATGCCAGGAGTGAAAAAGCTAGAAAAAGGTACCAGACTTCAGTAAATCATCCTTATGATTGGTCAAAGTTAAAACGGCAGGAAAAGAAAAGTTTAAGGTCGAAGATATGAATCGAAGCAACTTCTATATGATTTCCAGAGTCTTTTAAAAACAAATTATTATAATATGAAGAAGAATAATACTCTTGGGGATAAATTTGTATTTCAAGAAGTGAAATGGTTACGGTATATATAAAAGAAGAAATAAATACGATTTTCTACAAGGTTTCACTTAAGGAAGATGCTATTTAAAAAAAATTGGATTTGTCTTGTACCAAAATTATCAATGATGTTTATAATTTTTTATTTTAGATACGAACAAATATGTGATCATTCTTGATTTTCAAAGAAATACATAAGTAATAAAAAATAATAATATCGTATTGATGTTTTATGACAAATATGTCTTATAAAATCATATGCAATAAGTCTCAAGTCATGATGTGAAAGGGCTAAAGTCAAACAGGTATATGCAATAGGTCATAAGTCATTATACTTTGAAGAAAATAAATAAACATTAAAATATATTTAATAGTAAAATAACAAAACACTTATTAAACATGATTATGAATTCAAAATTTAAAAACATTAAACATTTACAAAGTTACATGTTTTTTGTGTCTCCTAAAAAGTATCAATATTTGACTAGGGCCCTTTCTTTTAAAAACCATCCAACTTATGAGAGAACACAGGTAATGTTTTAACTAATAAGTTTGATAACAGATCAATTCACTCTAATATCAAAACTAACAGCACACTATCGAAACTAGTGAACAAAAATTTGTTACGTTGTATGTTTGTAAGGCGGAGACAACACATGCAGGTATGACATCCTCTTAAAACTTATGTTTGAAAAACTATACTTCTTATAAACTCAACGATGTCTGATGTGGGAACATCTACATCAATCAGTCTCTTTATTGTCAGCTCTTATAAAATTAGCTGCCTGAATGACAGTATATGAATCAGGTCAAAGTTTAACTGGACATCTCTACACAGGTATTCCGCAAATGTGTATAGAAATACACCACAGTCCACACTGTTCTTCTTCTGTTCAACCTTTTCATCACCAAATGTAGTCAACTGCGTAAACAAAAACGTGTCGAAACAATAATCATCAGGGTAGCTTTGCATAAAAGATCCATGTAGTCATTGATAACTTGGTCATTAAGATACCACTGGGATAATAAGCCACACAGATACTGTCTTGTCCACAAACTAAAATCAAAAAAATATAATTAGTAGGTACCCAGTTGAATTATACTTGTTTTATACTTGTTAAAACATATGGCATTAGGTACTAACAGTTAAAAATATTATAGTATTAAAATTAAAATTAAAATAATTCATAACATATAGGTAAGTAATATTTATAACTTGCGTAAGCTTTAAGACATTTTTGATCTTTTTTCTAATTGTTAAACAAAAATGAGGATCATTTTAGTGGCTTTTACTCAATGAGCCAAGTCCTAACTGTAAAACAATAAACATGAGAATACAATGTGCAGATAACAGTTATGTAAGAGGTTTTATACGCCGTAGAACTATTTCCGTACGTTAGAACTGTCCGAACGACACCATACGGAAATTTGAGTTTTTCCCATACGAAAGTTGTTTTTATGAAGTACTAAATAGACACTAGAAATGTTAGGTACCTAGTAATCAGTCACACGTTTCAATGTTAAGTAACTTGGTTATGACTTAAATTTCTAACTTAATACAAGATTACATCATTTTCAAGTGACATTAAAATGTATCTACTTAGTTTCAATTTGCGTGGTAATTTTTTATCATAGATTAGTGTAATAAAATATTTTTATATTATATGCTCAATGCTCTAGCTAATTTAAATTAAATTAACACAACAAGATTTAATCAGGTGCGGATCTAGACAAAGAGCTAAAGGGATTCCTCTTCTGGACATGTATATTATGATACAGTTTATTTGTCTTAAATTCAATTAATTTAAAAAATACATAAAAATTGTTATCAAATCTTATCTATAGAATGCTCTATAATTATAAAACCTCCATTTCAAATTCCTCGATTCACTCCTGCATTTCATATTTCTGGTACTTTATGTCTATTTTGTATTCTGTTAAAATATAAAATTTAAATGTTGAATGATGCACAAAATATAACAATGCATTATATGAAGATTTTCCATTTTTTTTATTTTGTTTTATTTTTGTTGGTTATGATATTTTTTTTAAGTACTCAATTTTAAAATTGTAACAGCCTTATATGCAGGAGGCAAAGTGTATGATTAAGGTTTATATACCAACATTTGTACTTTGTTTGTGTCTATCATCATATTTCGGGGCAGTAAATATTATAAATAAATAGATTTGCGACAAAAAGAATCTATTTAGCAACCAAAATATACTTTGTGCTGATTAAAGAAAAACAGAGATTCCTAGGTAGAACCACATTATGACAAAATAGATACAATTTTTTTGATTTAATACAACAACTCATAGATATACATATGCTTAAATTTAACCAAATGTTTATGTCAATTTTCCAAACATGATAAAATTTTCAAAATATTCTTACTCTTATTGTGCTATTTATAGAAACAAGATTTTCATCAATTTTTCAATGATTGTGGATAAAAAGTTTTTTGCTAATTCAAAATACTTCATAATTTAATACATGATTAATAAGAAATTGTTGATAGTGAAAATTTAAAGAAAGAGTTGAGCGTACAACCACAATGATTTTTTATGACAGTCTGAAATCAGAATTTTGAAAAAATTTGTCAAAATCTGCATATTCTTTTGAGTGAGGAATTCCTAAAAACTGTCTATTCGTTTATAATTAAGGCCATTCATATTTTAGCAATAGTGACCCAAGATAACAATAGATAAGTGTAACAGAAAACTTTAACAAGTTTTTACAAGATTGAAAAATATGGTATTAATTATATCTAAGATTTGAAAATTTAATACAAGATTTATCATCAGTTTTCCTATCTTAGGCAAAAACATTAGTTTACCGGACAGTCAAATTAATTGTTAAGAGCGGTTGAAGTTTAAATTTGAATGAAATTGGAACCTCTATTTAACATAAAACATTTTATTATAATTCAAAAATAAAAAACTGTACATACTTGACATTTTCAAAAAAACTATTTAATTTATTATTTTTTATTCATGTATATTCAACACAGTCAATACATGTTAGAAGATATTGATAAGCTTCCAACCGCTTCCAACAATTATATTTGTCTTATTTTAGCTTTTATATCAATTTAAAGATTGCCCGGAGCTAACCACAGAATAGGTTATTTGCAGATACTCATATAAATTCATAGATAAACAATGTTATCATTTTAGTGGTGAATTATGGACTATATCTCATGTTTTTAGAGAATTTATTTATGTTAAACAATAACATTTTTTGTTAAACTTTGTTAATATTTTAATAAGATAAATGAAAAAATTATCAAGAATGTAAAATATTAATAATAATTTAAAAAAAATAGGATTATTGATTCAAATATTTAGTAAAAACATTTTTAATTACAAAATTAAAGAAATATTTTATAAAAAAAGAAGTATTTAATTTGTATTTATTAATACGCACTACTAAATAAATGATATCCAAAGTTACACACAAAACAACAATTTTTTTAACTATCAATACTACCAGTAGCAAGGAACACCAAGGCCCGGTACATGGTCGGTGTCAAGCAAAATGCAAATGCTTACTAAAAAGATACACATACCAAATATTAAATATAGGCTATAAGTAATATAACAAAAACTCTATGATATCTGAAGCTCTATGTCATACATTTGTAAGGTATCTGCATGTACCTACATCGGTAAAAGGATAGCTGACTGCTTCCATGTAAATAGTATTATTTATTAATAATATATATCACATAATACAACCTACCTAGCGTAAACTTTGTATTGTAGATCCTTGGGATACCCGTAGTCGAGAGCCCACTGTATGTCCGGAATGCCTAGGTCATAATATTTTAAGTGATATACATGCAGATCGATTGGTGTAGACAACCGATAGCTGTATCCTCCAATCTGCCAAAACGAGTTACAACGTTAAACATTTCACACCTTCCCCCCCCCCTACACACACACCAATATAATATATAGTAATGTACATAATTAATTACCTTTAGTTTGAGGACAGTGGAGCACAGCTAAAGAATAACAGTTCAACACATTTCGATAATCAGACTTCTGGAAATAATTAGTTCCATTTATTTTATTCTGTCCTTGTAGCTTGTTGGCTAATCTTTAGTATCGGTACATGGATGTACAACAGTTCGTATACGAAATTTATTTTCTGTTTGTCTTTTTTCAACTTTTCGAAATCTGCATAATCAGACGATTTTTAATCGTGACGAAATCGATCGTGTCGAATCGAAAACGGCTCGCCGCCCTGCAGTGCTTGTTCGTTCATCATAATGTTACGGCTAAATAATTGGTAGGTGAATCCGCACAGACAAATCCTAAACAGCGCAGGATGTGGTAGGATGATTGTCTAATACTCGGTCGTAAAACATAAGGTCTGACAACTAGTCGTCAGGAGATAATGTTTGCACAACAGAAGAAACGCGTAGGTAGGTACTCACAGTGACCGGTTATGGTTATTCGTCACGACAGCGCAAGGGGAAAGAACGGGATAAATATCGAGAGTCGGCAAAGTATGGCGCCAGTTACTATAGTCGGTAGGTAATGTATTTGCACTCCAACTTACGATGGTATCAACGGAGCACCTTTTTAAGGCGGCCAAGAGTACGAGCATTTGGAAGTAAAATGCGCTACAACGGCGAAGAGTACGCGCACTCGAAATTAGACGCTAGCTTAGAATTTCTCATAAAGATTAATTAACATAAAGAGTACAACGCACGTACGGGATATTTGCATTTGCCTTTAGAAAGTACGCACAATGACAAAACGTATACATTCAACCGTGCATTACTTTTTGATAACAGACATAGAGAAGATACATTATAATACATAAGTATATAACATTGTACTCCGCAAGGCCAGTGAAGTAAACGGCAATGAGACCAATGAGAGATGAAACGGTATAGGTACAAAATGACGTTAGAATTTAGCTTCGTTTCCCCCGCTATGCGACAGTCGGTGGCGGGCTACCAGACGTATACAGAGCGTGCCAAATTATAAACACTATACAGAGTGGTGTAGTATCATCCGTATACCATACTTACATTCAATTTTTAAATATTTTTTTTATTATTCAAAAAAATATGTATTGAAACAATATAAAAAAAACTCACAACAAATATCAAAAATAAACAAGTTTAACGGTACTCGCTAATACGCTACACATAGACACGTCACACGTACCTACCTAGTGACACACGACACATCACAACCGGCACAACCAGGCCTCGTGTACATTGGTGAGCGGCGGCGGCGATAATGAGTGGCGAGCGGCAGAGTGTGTATATTGGCTCATCCAAGAGCGGCGAACGTCTTGGCATAGAAAAATATAAATGTATTTCGTATTTTAGTGTCATTCCGATTTTATACTCAGGGTTAGGTTATTTTATACTCATACAAGTTATAATCATGTCGGTAAATCGTCTGTCAATTTTGTTAGGTAACCAAATTTTAAGAAATAAAATTTTGAAAAAAAAAAGGTTGGTATTCATCCCATTAATCTTCGCAGATTAATGTATGGTGAATTGGTGAGTATCACCATTTATATTCTGATTTGCGAAAATCACCGAATAAATTTTTTGAGTTTTTACGGATGTCAGTTCAAAATCTCGATAATGTTCAAATCATTTTAAGTTAAAAAATAATAAAATGTTCAATTTATAAAAATGTATAAATGTTTTTTTTAGTAGACATTATAACTTAAAATTAAGACGAAATAACATATTATTAAAATTAAGAATACGTTTCTCTATATTTTGTTGTAATTTAAAAATATTTTTCGTGGGCATACCTACATGAGATTTTTAGAGCAAATTATTATATTGTATACACTATACAGTATACACATTACACACAATAGTATTTCCAGTATAATTTTGTTATCAAAAATGAATTTAACTTACTGTAGCACTAATGCCTAGAATAATAGTAAAATTAATTACTTTAATCACATTATTAATACCATACATTTAACAGTAGTATATTATAGGGCGAAAGACCGTCTTCCCTCAGAATTGTTTTTCCTATACAATGATTATTGAATTCAAATTTAACTTATCCATTGCAGTGGCTCTCTGGGTATCTAATGTTGAGTAGATCAGTAAAGTTCTCTGAACCATGAAAACAAATTTGAGTTTACTCTGCTATTTCATGAGAATTTTAAAAGAAATATGTAAATGCTATTAAATTCCAACTATGATGATTGTAATTTAATACAACACAAATATTACTAACAAGAAAAACGGTGTCATCATCAAAGCACAATACTTTAACTCCTAAATGTTGGTTATATAAACCACTAATATAGGTACCTATATTATAAAAAGTTGTGGTCCAAGAACAGTCCCTTGTGGTACAGAATAATTATTTAATTGGTCATCACTATAAACATCATTAATTTTAACTTTTTGGTTTCTATTACTAATAAATGATTCTGAAAACTTATTTTGCAAATTAGGTAGGTACCTACTGTCTTCTGTACTACCAGTAAAGAATCGGTTGCGAATTGTTAGCGCGTGACATCAACGACGGAGCCGGAGCGTGATAACATAATGCGATATAATATTAATTATAATTTTTGGTTACCGAATAAAGTACTTGCTTGCAACCTTGTTTTTGATTTTTAATTTGAATATTTTATAAGTTATTAACTACAAATAATTTTTAAGCTTTTAAACCAAAAAAAAAAAAATAATAATAAAAAAAGGAAAAACCGTTAGTGCAGGAATTATGAAAAAGTGGTCAGGAATCGGCAGGAAGTGAGTACTAATTGTTGGAGCAAAAAAATTTCGAAAGTCAAAATGGGGGGAGGGGGCGGGGTAATGTACGTATATTATAAATATAATAAATATTTCACATGAGCGGCGAGCGGCAAAATTCAAACGTCATGTGTGATTTGTGACGCTCTGCGCCGCTACCGGTCACCACTGCTGCTCACCGCTAGTAATCAATGGTACACACTCAGATTTAAATTATATGGGTTTAAATTTTTTTTCCGACGCGCCGTTCGACGCTCGCCGCTCGCCGCTCATCAATGTACACGAGGCCTAGAGTGGCGGGAATGCTCCAAAAAGATGATTTTTGGTCAGGTAGAAAGAAATAAATTTAACGCATATGTCCTGACCGCATCGGTGCCGACACCTTTGGGACACATATATAATATACGACATTTCGCGTGTATGGGACAACCTCAGGTACCGTAAATGTGCAGCATTTTCTGTATCATTCGAAATTCGAAGAGACAATTACAATTAGATAACATTTAAGCGTCTTGCAATCTTGATGACAATAATGTGTTCGCCGATCAGTTGTCCGTCTCGAACGCTGTTCTACCGCCTACCAATATCATTATTCTGTATAATATAATAAAAACACTAATAATTGTAAATTAAAATCACAGTCCATTTTAATGATCGAACAGTGTTCTTAAACTTCAATTAATTTTTTTAATGCCCACTCCTTCAAAATTGTCTTTAAATAATATTGTACATTACTGTACATTATAATAAATACATATACACACGTAGGTACTGTGGACATGGCTATACAATATTTTATATTTGTGTCTCTCCTATCATTATATACTTTTATATAGGTATTATTCTTATTAATATAATTTAATATAAAAGTTAATTGAATCTAAGCTACTAGCAAGCCACTGTTAAATAATGAGTAATAATTTATTCGTGTTGTTGACCAAGTAACTGTTGTACAAAGTGAACGAATACATTTTTTTGAGGACGGCTGTTATTATCAACTATCAAGACATGATTGTATTATAGTTATTGCTATCAGCTATATTGGTTTTTTTCGCGATACCGTCAAATCTTTTGTTATTTGTACTTACCGATCATGTCTAAATAATATTGTAAAACTCAACTCCGCCGGTATTCAGTTGTTATAATATTTTATAATGTGTAGGTATTCATTATTTTGTTATTTAGCGATGTTAGTGATAATACGAACGTGTAACGACCATATTGCCAAATGCCAATTACCTACGTATTGTAGTTTTGTAAATGTTTGGATTATCGACTGTCGTCTAGTCGTTCGTCGATTGAAACCGTTTGCATAAGAAATTGTTATGGTAAGATAAATTGATTAATTATAATATATTAATATATTTATTATAATATGATTATATTTTAGGCTAACGGTCACATCGATTCCTGAATCCAAACTTACCAAACAAATAGGTACATTACCATTTTTAATACAAATTGACTTACAAATAATAGACTATAAAATAGTATACTAAAAAAAATTAATTACTCAGTTTATTTCTCTGAAAACAATTCTAGTTCAAGTACTAACTGACTAAAAGTGAATGGTGTGCCAACCTTATACTTATCGGTAAAAAAATAAAATTATAATATAATTTGTAATACCCAAAAGTGTATTTGTAAATTCATTAATATACACCCTTTAATTATTTTACTATTTGAAATATTTTTGACCTGTTTATGTAGTAATAAGGTGCACTGTTTGGTGAAAGAGTGATACTTGACTGCTTGACAACCTCGTCGACAACTCTGATTAAATACATTACAAAAACAAATTACTACAAATGTGAAACGACTCAATAGTATAATAATTGTAAGCCTTTAAGTATAATTTTTATTTGTGTAATAATATTACCTTCGAGATGAATAAATACATAGGCATAATTTTATTTTTGGTAAACAGAATTAAATAATATTCAATACTTTGTACTTATTCACTTTATTCATTTTGCATTATTTCAATCATTTCATGAAACACCATTGCTATGAAACCAATTGATTTCAATTCAGATGGATACAGGATAATGAGCGAGGCACCTCCTACATCAGTTGGTTTATACTTATCTGGCATTTATTCTCAAGCTGTCACTGATGAGTATGTATCGTTAAATAAACAGATAATTTAGTTATTTCTGATTATTTACATTATGTTTGCAATAGAACATTAATTTGCTTTAATTTTCTTTTAATTCCTATTGCTTGCTCTAACCCCAACCGAAAATATTTTACAGCTAGACTGTGTTAGTAAAGCAAGGGTTGAGTTTTCATAAATAAAACTGGATTATCAAATGTCTATACTCTACATTGTTAATATTACATTCTTATATTTGTTAAAATAAATTACAACGACGTACTGTTTGCAGATTATTCCTTCATCAATCATTTACAACATTTCAAATTTTATATTTTGATTATAAAATTATTTTATTTAAAATTAAACTTGATTTAAAAACAAAACAATATAGATAATACAATATATTTTGGGTTTGATATGAAATTACAGAAACCATAAACAAATAAGAAATCTTCTAATGTATAAAACAAAATAATTATGCAATCCAGCATTTCAAAACATTATTTGAATTTATGGCAAAGCTATAAAACATTTTTTTTTGGAAAGTATAACAAATATATATATATATATGTATAAGATTTTTTGACAGAATTAATTTGAAATATCTGTTATCCATTAGCTCCAATAGAGTAAATATATTCAAAAAAGTAGTTGAGGAACGGTTTTTGTTATTCAAAATATATAAACAATAGTTAATAATTTAAAGGCAATTAAGAACAACATAATACAATTCTAATTCAATTGGGTTTAGTACTTAAAACAAATATATAAATATGAAAAAAAAAGTTAAAATATTAAAAATTGTTTTTAATTGAAATCATAATTTTTGTATTCCATTCAATGTAATACAATTATTGACAAAATTTTAAAAACCAAAATAAATTAATTTTAAAGATATTCAAAGTAAAAAAAAGATTTATAACTATACACAAGTGAATCAATAAAATAAACATTTTGAATAAAATAAATTAAAAAAATATTTAACCACATGTTAATTTAATTTAATAATATAATATATAAATATATAGATTTTTTAATAATTAATATTATTTTTACATTATAATTAATTACAATTTGTTTGAAAGTAATTAATGCATAAATAATAATAAATATTTTCTTAAACCAATATGCTATAAATATTTCATGTTAACAAAAATTACTTACCATATTGAGTATATAAATGTACAATTTAAACACTATATAAAACATTGAAATTAAACTTGATGAATATGAAGTATAAAAGAAATCTCATCAAATTATTAAACTAATTCATAATCATATTTCACCAATAAAAGTAAAGAAGAAGGAAAATATTAAAAGAACATTATAGAAAATCATCAAATTGACAAAAAATGGTCAACATTCACAAAGCCTTTATTTCTATATATTCAAGTACAAGACAAATGCAACGTTTTAAAAAAAGCAACTTCCTTAAGTGAAGTTTGTCAGAAAATAGTATTTTTTTTCTCTTTTGTGTACCATAATAAT